TCAAATAATGGATCTTATTCTAATTACCCCAGCTAAAAACCTTGCAACCTGAACACTGAGAGGGAAACATGGAAGTTTGAGTAAAGTGAGCAGGTGGTGTCATGGAGGGCGGGATAGAGACAGTTTAAAACAAGATTTGAGTACAGTGAGAAGGAGGGTTGGAAAGGCTCTGTTGTGCTGGTTTGTGTAGGGACTGACAGGAGTTGAAAGTCCAAAAATATTTCTAAGGCGATGCAGGCCCTCCCATTCCATGTATAAATGAAGCCAAACTACTCATTTAACAGACTTGAATAATTTTTTTCTCTTGGCTTGGGGTATTGAAGAATGCAAGCCCATGAAACCAGTTCCTTACCCTCTGGGTGTCCTACTGAGTCCTTCCTCTAAGCCTTGGAGATTTCAGTCGGTGTCGTCAACTCACCTTCACACCCAGAAACAGGGAGTTGGAAATGTGATTTCATAAAAAATAAAATGACAAGAAAGCTAAGGGTTTTTTTGGTTGCCCAGATTTTACCCACATTTGCAAATATCATGCCTTTTGGGGATCTTGGTCGACTGAGATCCTGTTGCCGTTGACTCAGCTTGAATTATTTAAGCAGCTCGAGAACCGGGCGTGCGACTGACCCAGCAGACTCCAGTGGCGTCATTTGGGGGCCGCAGTCAGTTTGTTTCCCTGCTTCTTTGTTCCTCCCGCAGATACCTGAAGTACCTCACCAAGAAATACCTGAAGAAGAACAACTTGCGCGACTGGCTCCGCGTGGTCGCCAACAGCAAGGAGAGCTATGAGTTGCGATATTTCCAGATCAACCAGGATGAAGAGGAGGAGGAGGAAGAAGATTAAATGCAAAGGAATCTGGCAATATTTTGTACATTCGCTTTTCCTTCAATAAAATACGGTGAAAGTTGTTATAACATTTCTCCTTGTGTGGTTCTGTCTGGATTGCAGTCTGCCATGTAAACACAGCCAGAATAGATGTCCACACCAAAAGCTTCCCCTGTCCTTTGCTGCTCTCTACGGAGAGATTGTGGTATGAGCTCTGGGGTAGGAATCCCCAACTTTTTCTTTTGCCCAAGCAGGGTTAGCCCACCTGTGGCGTGGGGCGAAGTGGCCCCTGTGGGCACCTCTGCCACTGCCAGAAAGGCAGCACTGGCAGCCAAAACCTCACAAAATCTCCCCAGGGTAGTGGCGCCACAGTCACATGTTCCCATTTCTGATGTGCCCAAGAACCCACTTAGAAATCTCAAACTCAGGATCGCTGCAAAGGGCACATTTTGTAGAAGAAAAAACTGGCGATGCTTGGAAACACCACCCGTCCCCGTAGGGGAAAACACATAAAACATGGGGGGGGGGAAAGACCACCCCCAAAGTTTGGGCAAGCCCTTCACTCCCCCAACCAAACTATCTTCTCCACAAGCTAAAGCACCTCAAGTTAAAATTGGGAAGGTGTTGGGTGCTGGTGTTTGAGAGGGTCATTGTGCCTGCGATTGCCAACCTAGGAGACTGGGCTGAGGGGAAGGTTCATCCCCTTGTATTGGGGTGGGATGAAAGCTCCTGCAATTCAGGTGCGGGGAACCTACAGGTGAAACTCGAAAAATTAGAATATCGTGGGTAAGTTCCTTGATTTCAGTAATTCAACTTGAAAGGTGAAACTAATATATGAGATAGACTCGTCACCTGCAAATCGAGATATGTCAAGCCTTGATTTGTTATCATTGTGATGATCATGGCGTACAGCTGATGAAAACGCCAAATTAACAATCTCAGAAAATTAGAATATTCAAGGAAATCAGCAAAACAAGGATTGCAAATCAAGCAAGATTGGACCTCTGAGAAGTGGAAGCACATCTCGCTTTGCATGTCATGAGTCGGTCTCATATATTAGTTTCACCATTCAAGTTGAATTACTGAAGTCAATGAACTTTTCCACGATATTCTAATTTTTCGGGTTTCACCTGTAACTACCAAGTCCCGTCTGCCCCAGGAAGCATGGTCAAGGTTGATGTTGGGAGGTGTAGTTCATCAATGTCTAGATTGCTAAAGGCTCCCCACACTTGCTGTGATGAAAAAGGCTTCATAATTGGAGAGGGGTGCAGAGCTTGTGTTTGTATAATAGGGAAGAGGAAGCTGGTTTCAGAGGGAGGGGGGATGTATGAAGCAGTATGTAGAGTACTGAAGTTGGTTGGGGTTTTGACAGATGCACTAGTGGCCTGCCAGAGGGTCTGGAAACCAAGCCTTAGGAGGACGTTCAGCCTGGAGGAGAGAAGACTTTGGAGGTGATATGACTGCCCCCTTCAAATAGCTAAAGGGCTGTCACATGGAAAATCTGAGCGAGCTTGTTTTCGGCTGCTCCAGAGGGGAAGAACCCAAACAGATGGATTCAAATGGCAAGAAATGAGATTCTGACTAAACTTTAGGAATAACTTTCTGACAGTAAAGAGGGGTTTGACAGTGGGTCAGAGTCCCTTGGACTTTTAAGCAAAGATTGGATGGCCATCTGTCAGGGGTTCTTTAGCTGTGATTTCTGAATTGCAGGGGGTTGGTTTGGATGACCCTTGGGGATCCCTTCAAACTATACGCCCTGCTTTGTGGACCATGCTGACATCACGGAACCTCTGCTACCCCAAGGCCATGCTTCTAGCTCCCTGGCTACTCCTTCCCACCTCTGTCCTTATTTCAAGTTTTGCTTAGATCTTCTTGCAGCTGGGTGGAATGAGATGAGTTGTAGAGCAAATGCAGTTTGCTGGCTGTGAAGGAAATTCCCACGTTGACTGTTGCAGCAACTTGTGGAAGAGGGGTTTCTTTTGCCAGGCAAACTAGTCTTCTTGCTTCTGAGGAACAGAAGAGGTTGAGGAAAGCTTTTTCCCCCAGATTTTTTTTTTAAATAAAAAACCCACAATATTAAGTTTGCCAAGCTGTGCAGGGTGAACATCCAAGTACTATGGCTATTGTGTCAGCCAGTGGTTAAGGAAAGCAATGAGAGATCTTTTTAATTTATTAAATACTGCAAAGCTGGCATTTCACACGAAATAATATTAAGGATGCTTAACAGTATTTCGGAAGTTGGTTGGAGGTGCCGCGATGGCAAAGGTTTGAAGGTGCCGCGAGTGTCATTATTCCAACCCCCTGCCGTGCAAGAAGCTTTTGCACAATGTGGAGCTCGAATCCACAACCCTGAGATTAAGAGACTCAAGTTTAAGATTAAGATCAAGAGACTGAACTATCCCAGAGTGACTTCCTCAAAAGAATAATAGGAACTGTAGTTTGTTAAGGTGCTGGGAATTGCAGGTCTATGAAGGGGGAAAACTACGATTCCCAGGATTCTTTGGCGAGAAATCATGAGCTTGAAGCATGGGTATAATTTGCTTTCAATGTATGGTGTAATCTACCTGCAAACAAAACCGGACTGAATGCTCAATTAACCGGTCATCTGGAAGAGAGCAGCATAATAAGCAAAGCCTACTCGCTTCTGGTTGCCTTAGTTTTGGAGAGGTACATCCTAAAGGTGAGGGATCATTTGGGATCCGGTCCAAGTTTGGGTCCTTGGGGCTGTTAGATTGGCTGCGGAAGCCTGCATTGGACTCTCTGCTCTGCCACAAACTTCCCCAGGGTGGCTATGGGGCTTTCCCAGGGACCCAATGTACTGCTCCCCTTGTGGGCAACCAGCTTCTTCGCCTTCAGAATACTGTATCCGAAGCGAGGAAGCCCTGAGTTTGAATCCTCACTTGGGCACGGGTTACACCAGTCTTCCTGTCCTCCTTCAGGTTAACTAGCATCATCTCTAAATACCATCTGCTGGGGGATACAAATAGGGACGTAGTGTGCCTGCCCAGTGTGTAGTGGCTGTGAAAAAGGCAAATTCCATGCTAGGGATCATCAGGAAAGGAACTGAAACTTTTGACATCATAATGCCGTTATAGAAATCTATGGCGCATTTGCAGTACAGTGTGCGGTTCTGGTCACCTCACCTCAAAAAGAGTTGGTGAAGGTTCAGGAAAGGGCAAGCAAAATGACCAAGGAAAAGCTTCAGAGTTTGGGACTTTTCAGAGAAACAGTGAATAAGAGGGGATGTGATGGAACTGTAGAAAGTCCACTCTCATAATACTCAGGGATGTCCAAGAATGCTGGAAGACGCAGGACAGATAAGAGGAAGTCTTCCCTCTGGCAGTGCATAAACTATGGAACTCCCTCCCACAGGAGACAGTGATGGCTATCAACCCAGAGGACTGGGCAAATTTATGGCTGCCAATGGCTACTAACCCTGATGGCTATGTTCTGCCTTCACTGTTGCAGGCAGCAGACCCCCTGAATAACAGTTGCTGGGAATCACAGTTGGGCAAAAGGTGCTCCTGTTCTCGGGTCCCACTTGCAGGTTCCCCATAGGCATCTCCCACTGCAGGGACAGGAGGTTGGACTGTTATTTATTTGTTGCATCGATATCCCACCTTTCCTCAAGGTGGCCTCCTCCCCACTTTGTCCTTACAACAACCCCGTGAGGTAGATTAGGCAGGGAGTGAGTGGCTGGCCCAAGGTCACCCTTTGAGCTTAGTGGCCAAGTGGAGATTTGAAGCCTGGACTCTAACCATGACACCACCACTGATTCTCTAGCCTTGGTGGGCCTTTGGCACGGCTTTTTGGAGAAAAGCTTAAATAAATGGTCCTTTAAAAAGAAAAACAAATGCCAAATCAAAGTATCTCCCCTCAGAAATATTGTGGTCCTTTTCTAATATCGCATTGTCCCTGCAGGATCAACCCTCCCAACCCCAACCCATCTTTCCCCCCCTGCGCCTCTCACTTTCCTGGTGCGTAAAAATCTCCGCGGGGAGGATTCTTGGAGGGGCGTTTGTGCGTGTTTGGGAAGGTGGGAAGAGGGCTTGCTTTGCCTGTCTACCGAGAGAGATGCTGCCGCCGCTGCCGCCGCCGCCGCCGCCGGTGGTGTGCCCAAAATGATGGGATGCGGTTGCCAAGGTAACCAGACTGGACGTCAGCGCGCGCGCCTGGGCATGTGTGCGCGGCCCGCCGCTCCGGGCTGGCTTGTGCAAGGTGGGTCCAGCGCGCTCCTCCTCCTCCTGCGCGGCTGCGGATCGCGGCGGGGCAGGCAGCGGCGAGAAAGAGGAGGAGGAGGAGGAGGAAGAAGAAGAGGGGCCGATCTCTGTCCCCCTCCCGCGCGCCGGGCTCTCGAGCACCCCCTCTCCATCCTTCCCCAGTCGCTGCAGCGGCCATCTTCGCTGCCTCGCCCTCCGCAGCGCAACGTGCGCACCGGGCGGAGGCAGCCGCCGCTCGGCTCGCGGAGCGATGCGCGGCGCGGAGGAGCCGCAGATCGCGGAGGACATGTCAGGTAGGTGGAGAAAGCGTGGGGAGGAATAAGGGGGGGGGGCAAAACCTGACCCGAGTGGAGGCTCAGATGGGAGGGTGCACCTCTTTCCCCCAAAACAGCCCAAAGAGGAGTCCTGCTGGGTCAGGTACCTTTCTCCAAGGTGGCCTGCAAGACTGCCCCCACGCTGGGAGGGGGGTGGGCTCTCCCAAACAGGGCCCTGAGGTGGTGGCCCCTTTCCCTCTCTGATCATCTACTTGAGGTAGACTGCCCCTGCCCATGGAGGCTCCCTTTAGCTTATCCAAAGGCTTGTTGGGCGCCTCTCTCCATCCAATCCTGGAGTCTGGATGCAGCAGGGCAAAGCCACTACAATAATAAAATTGTAGATTTGGAGGGGACCCCCAGGGTCATCTAGTCCAACCCCTTAAAATGCAGAAATCACAGCTGGAGAATCCCTGACTCTGAATCCAAGCTCTGTTTCCAAAACCTGCAATGAAGGAGAGTCCTTCTGAGGGAGGCCCTTCCACAGCTCAGAAAGTTGTTCCTAAGGTTTAGTAGTCGGTTTGGGAGCCACCCTCTGGAGCAGCAGAAAGATGGCTAATCATATTAGCTCTCTGTCTTCTTCACATCTCTTTGAGCCTCTGGAGTTTAGAAGTGTGCTACCTCATCCCCCCCTCTCTCTAGCTAATAGCTGTCCTCAGTAAGCCTATTGAGAGGGAGGGTGGTGATTTGCACACACCCTACTGAAATCAATGGGGCTTCCTGCCAAGCCTGAGCACAGGTTGTAAATAACGTTTGACAAGTAGCAGATGTTCTTTGGAGGCCTTTGCAAGCCTGATGGGACATCCTGGGAAAGTGTGCCCCTCTGGGCCAGGTGACCAGTGGTCCTTCTGATTCCAGTAATCTGTCTCCAGAGAGACCTCATGGAATTCCTAAAAAGGGACACACAAGAGGGTCACTCATCCTCCATTCCTTTTCATTTAAGAACATAAGGAGAACCCTGCTGGATCAACCCAATGGCCCATCGAGTCCAGCATCCTGTTCTTACAGTGGCCAACCAGATGCCTGTGGGAAACCAGCAAGCACATGATCAGTCTCTCCCCATCTGTAGCATTCAGAAGCATCACTGCCTCCTACTACGAAGGCACAGCTTAGCCATTGTGGCTAGTAGCAGTCAATAGGCTTCTCTTCCAAATATTTTTTTCCTAATCCTCTTTTAAGACCATTCAAGTTGGTGGCCATCCCTGCCTCCTGTGGGAGTGAGTTCCACAGTTCAACAATGCACTGAATGAAGAAGGACTTTATTTTATCGGTCCTGAACCTTCCAACATGCAGCTTTATTGGATGACTTCTAGTGTTTTGAGATAGGGAGGAAAACTTCTCTCTGGCCACTTTCTCTATGACATGCATAGTTTTATAAACTTCTATAAATTTTACAAACTTTTATAAATTTCTCGTGTCCTGGGGTTTCCTTCTGAGGAATGGGGAGGGCCCCACTTGGCTCTAAGCTGATGCTGGATATATCCTCAGTCCATTTGTCTCTAGGCCTCTTCGGAAACTGCCAAAGATGCTCACTGCTGTTGCTATTAACTGACATTATAGTGAACTCTGAAACTTAATTAGCAAAGTCCACTAGGTGGGTTCTCAGCTGTTCACTCCTGTCTTAGTGACTTGGAAGCTTGCCTTGCTAGTTTTAAGAGGTTATCATAAGGGTCTCCAAAGGATGCTAATTAATAACATGGTTATCCATTTGCTTGGTCTTTGGGTGCTTTGCCTAATAATGTTTCCTTTTCTGCTTCAAGCTGCTTGAAAAAAGTTCCTTAATGAACTAACACTTCAACAGTTGGCAAAAATTTGTCCTGTTTTATGGGGAGGGGTTTTTGAGTTATGGGGGAACCTCTGAAGTCCTGCACTCCCAGCACTAGAAATACAGTGGTACCTCGGGTTAAGTACTTAATTCGTTCCAGAGGTCCGTTCTTAACCTGAAACTGTTCTTAACCTGAAGCACCACTTTAGCTAATGGGGCCTCCTGCTGCTGCTGTGCCGCCAGAGCACAATTTCTGTTCTCATTCTGAAGCAAAGTTCTTAACCTGAAGCAATATTTCTGGGTTAACAGAGTCTGTAACCTGAAGCGTATGTAACCCGAGGTACCACTGTACTTCTGCTACATTGCTGCAGGAACACACATACTTTCAAGCCTCTCATTTTCAAGTGCTTCTGCCAGTAATCTTGACAACAACCCTGTAAAGTAGGTCCGTGTTGTTGTCCCCATAATGCAGATGGTGACTCTGAGGCTGAGAGATAGTATCCTTAAGGACAGAGGCAGGGTTAGTCATGCAATATGTTTGGGAGGGAGTTGCACTCCCCCTTAAGAATATGGGTTATAAACGTCTTTCAGAGTTTCCGCTTACAGTCTCTTTGCTTTGATCTGTTTACAAGAAAGGAAGGCGGACTTCCTGTTTATACCTTCCCGCTTCGGTGCCAAATTAAATTATTTTCCCTTTAGATCCAATTTAATCCTACTTACGGGTAGTTATTTTCGAAGTCAAATTGTCCCAGGAAAAAGTCAGCGCTCTCCGATAATGGCTGTGCGGCTTCACTCCGTGGAAGAAGCAGTCGACTCTCAGCACCGCGCCACTCACCCTGTCTCGCTCCGGAGCCCTTAAAAGGGTCCCTTCGCAATTTGGGGGGGGGCGCAAAAGGTGCCCGCCGAGTCCCCACGTTCACAGGCTTCACCCGCCTGTGATTTTTGAAGGGTTCCCGCTTCGCTGCAGCGGTCAGACCCAATCCCGCGGAGCTGGTCCCTCAGAGACTCAGAGGGAATCCGCCATTACCTATGGCGCCATATAATTGCTGGATCTAAACGCTGATCCTGGATATCCAATAATAGCCACTGTGACTATTACCTTGGCAAGATCCAGCTTAGATTACTGTAAGGCACTCTTCATAGGGCTGCCCTTGAAGAATGTTTTGGGAAGGGACAAATGGCCACCTTCAAATATAATAGCCATTTCAAATATCTGCCACATGGAAGATGGAGCAAACTTGTTTTCTGCTGTTCCAGAACCAGTGGACAAGCAAGGAGATTCCAATTAAACATGAGGAAGAACTTCCTGACAGTTGCTGGAAACCGCAGGAGCGGAGAGTGATATTGTGCTCAGATCCTGCTTGTGGCTTGCCCATTGGGTCATTTGACTGGTCACTGTGAGAAAAGGATGCTGGAATACTTTATCACAAGCTCACCTTAACCTGTGACTGAAGGCGACTTGCTGCACCAGAACTGTAACAGCACTTTGCACCTATTTATAACCTGCCTTCGTTCAATCAAAGTCTGCATACATGGGGTGGTCTCCTATGCAGGCGCTGACAAAACTCAGGTCACCTTAACTTCAGCAAGGGCTGCACTAGGCACATTTTGGACCTTGTTCAAGGCATGTCTTAGCATTGGCCGCATGATTTCTGCAACAGCCCTGTGAGTTTGGCAATGTATTTGCAGGTTTTGAACACCCCCCCCATACTTGCTGGCTGTGTGTGTGTGAGACAGAGTGTTGGAGCCAAACACTCTAACTACAGTGAGTCAGAATGATGCAGCCTCAGAGGAGCACACCTACCACATCTCTGAACGAGTCCCCTTCCTAGACCTAGCCTCCTCTGCTGCATTTGCACTGGCAAATGAGTGGGTGGGCCAATCATTCCTGATGCAGACAAGCAGCAGAATGACCCCCTCACACTGAAGGCTGATGCTAAGAATTCAAGTCTCTAGTCATGAATCATGCAGAGACACAACGGGCAGAATCAATATTGTGCTGGAGGCCAGCACAGCCAAAGGCCTGGGGAAAAAGAAATGGTTTTGCCTAGCACCTCAAAGTATGTTATAATGACGTCAGGCGAGCCTCCATAGGAAGAGCATTCCGCAAGCAGGGAGCCACCACTGAAAAGGCCTGTTCTCCTGTTGTCACCCTCTGGACCTCTCATGGAGGAGGCACATGGAGAAGGGCCTCAGGTGATGATTGCAGGGTCCGGGTCGGTTTGTATGGGGAGAGGCAGCCGTTATAAATAATTAATAGAAATAAATTTTTATTTGTACCCCGCCCTTCCCAGTTTAAAAACCGGGCTCAGGGCGGCTAACAGCAAATATAAAACATTGATTAAAATGTGACTTAAAAACAGCATAAAACAGCATAAAACACAACATAAAATGCAGCATCAATATCATAAAATTTAAAAAATCAGGGTCATTTTTGTGAAAAAAACTGAACCAGTCAGTAGACATTAAATGATCACCAGGGCTAACTGGCCAAGTTGGTCCTACTAGGGCCAGCAAGGAGACCAGAGAAGAATTTAAATATGGGGTCCCAGGAAGGTTTTCTTCATAGAAGAGGAAAGGGAAAAGGGAATAGAGGATCAGGCTAATTCAAATTGAAGGCTGGGTGGAATAGCAGGTAGCCATTGAGGTTCTAATGGCCTGATTAAGTGTACGGCTAAACCAGCTGTTTCCTGGATCCCAGTTTCTTGACTGATCCCTTTCCTTCCTGGTCTAGAAGAAGAAGATGGAGTCCTGGAAGATCTGGAGGAGTTTTATCCTGAGGAGCAGGTGAACACCCAGAAGAAGAAGAAGAAGGCCAAGAAGCTGAAGGAGAACAAGGCGTCTAAAGTCAAGAGGAAGAAGAAGGAGGTAGGTTTTCTTGGGGTTTCTGGGATGGGGAAAGCAGGAGTAAGAGGTCCACAATTGTGTGATTGTCCAGTTTATCTTGAGATATTGTATGTACCTTCAGAAATGCTGAATTGGCTTGTGTCAGCGATTAGGACCCTTCAGGCCCAAAAGCGACACATAACGCCAGCCCTCTGGGTCTCCTCCTGTGTATCAGCTGTTTAGCTGAGAGAAGGAAAGGGTCTGATGTTACGCAAAATGTACAATAACAGCTCCTTTCCCTTGCAAGGATATTTGCTACAAGAAGATCAAATCAATGGGAAAGGTGTCTCAGCAGAGAGGTAGACTTGTGCTCTTTGCAAATATGCACCCCCCAAAAGAATCCATGCATTTTGCAATTGCACACGTGCAGTTTTAAGGATGCAATCACATTTTGAAATGTGAGGCTTTGGGTCACTGTAAAGCAGTGCTTGCAGTTCAGCTGCTTGTGGACATTACAATTTAGGGAGGAGAACATTATTTGTAGAGAGCAAGAGGGAATTAAAGGAGTCACGAGGGATTCACAGTTCACAGTAAGCTGAGGCATGGTTGGGCCCCCAATCTCAAGATTGCGTGGCAGGCGCCTCAGCACCATAATGGGTTGTAGTCAACGTTAGACCTAATCAGAGTAGACCCACTGAAATGCATGCACATGGCAAATTTAGCTCATTGGGCTCTCCTTTATTGGAGGTTTATAAGCAGAGGCTGGACACCATCTGTCAAGGATTACTGCATCGCAGAGGGCTGGGTGGTGACCCTTGGGGTCCCTTCCATCTCTACGATTCTATGGTTTGATAAATCCTGTGAATTCTAGCAACTGATATTCAGAAGCCTTTCTGCAGGGCGTAGCCATCATGACTAGTAGCCATTGATAACTTTCTCTGCCATGATTTTGTCTCATCCTCTTCTGAAGCCATCCAAGTTGGTAGCCATCACTTCTTCCTGTGAGAGTGAGTTCCATAGTTTAATTTGGTGTTGCATGAAGAAGAACTTTATTTTACTTCTCCTGATTCTTCCAACATCCAGCTTCCTTGTATGTCCACGAACTCTGGAGTTATGTGAGAGGGAGATAAACTTTGTCCATTTTCTCCATGCCACACATCGTTTTTTTAAGCTTCTGTGATGTTGCCCCTTACTCACCTTGTCTCTGAACTATAAAGTCCCAAACACTGCAACCTTTCCTGGGGGCGGGGGGCGGTTAATCCCTATCCCCTGGATCATTTGGTTGCCCTTTCCTGGCCCCACTGGACAGAATATCCTCCCTCTGGTGACAGTCTGAATTTGCAAAGTACAGTGGTACCTCAGGTTAAGTACTTAATTCATTCCGGAGGTCAGTTCTTAACCTGACACTGTTCTTAACCTGAAGCACCACTTTAGCTAATGGGGCCTCCCGCTGCTGCCATGCCGCCGGAGCACTATTTCTGTTCTCATCCTGAAGCAAAGTTCTTAACCCGAGGTACTATTTCTGGGTTAGTGGAGTCTGTAACCTGAAGCGTATGTAACCGGAAGCATATGTAACCCGAGGTACCACTGTATTAGCAGATGCTGCTGATGTTTGTATGTCCTGGACCTCTTGGCATGAGAACTAGCTTTCAAAAGGGAAGTTTGAGGAAAGGGCCAAGGTGTTCACACAATATGCGTGCACTAATTCAGATCTCCATGAAGGCAGGATCCCAATATGGCTGTTATGGCTGCCCCATCCTCTCCACCTTGCTGGAAGTGTTTTCTCCAGCATCTTGGGCCTTCTCCTCCGTATGATACTCCAGCTGCATTGCAGCACCTCATTTACAGTTTGTCCCTGGTGGCTGGTTGTAAATCTTGGCAGCTCGCTGCTGTACCAACCGTGCTCTGTCTGTGGATGGTGCATCTGAGGGAGGGGAGAGGACCTTGGGGGACGCTTTTTGGAGAGAGCGGGATGACAGGACAGAGGGCTGCCCGCACTCCGCGGTTCCACAGGCAGGTCCCAGTTTCCTGGCCATCTCTGTTTTCCAACAGAGCAAGTTTCTAACCTTGCGAAGAAGTGCTCAGAAGCATGTGGACAAGGCTCTCAAGAGTCAGAGGGCCTTTGATGCCTCCTTACGTTGAAACAGGGGAAAGGCCGTAGCTCAGCAGTAGAGCAACTGCCTTGCATGCAGAAGGTTACAAGTTCAATCCTTGGCTTCTCCAGTTAGCAATGAGAAAAGATGCTTGCCTGAAAATTTTAATTTTATTATTTGTGCCCCGCCTATCTGTCTGGGTTTCCTCAGCCACTCCAGGCAGCTTACAGCATATGCAAAAACATAATAAAACATGAAACCCTGGAGAGGTGCTGCCGGTCAGTGTAGGCAGTACTGAACTGGATGGCCCAATGGCCTGATTCCATATAAGGCAGCTTCCTATGTTTCTCTACATACATTCTTCACAGGGAAATGAAAATTATGCCCAGCAATGCAAATGCCCTTAATCTGCATCAAGGACACATAATTATGTTTGGAATTTGTGCAGAATAATGATAATGATAATAGTGTTATTATTTTAAATGTACAGAGTGTACAGAGTCCTGGCTGCAGAATGACATTATACAGCTCAGGAAAGGCTAAGCAAGGCCAGAGGTTTCTGCTCCTGATGCACATAGAGAGAAGCCCACATTCACCCTGGGAGTTTTATGCTCTTGCAAGACACATGGACGAAATTAAAAGGATACACCCTCCCATGACAGAAATGAATGTATAGATTTCCTGCTCATGATTCTGAAGCTGCTTGGGCATGCGGGCAACGCCTCCTTTGTTTGGGTGAGCATTTGCGGTGTTGCTCTAATTAGCAGAAGTGTTGGCTTCTGCGTCTGCCTGTCTCTCCTCTCCGGATTCTGGTAGCAATTTGCATCGGTTGACGGCACAGACGTGCGTGGGAGCGGCTCGCCCACCTGTTACGAAGAAGAGATGGGTGGGGAAACAGTGGTCGTCTTCCTGGTGGTGATGCAGAACACCGTTCTCAAAGCCGATGTGTGTTTGGCGGGGGGGGGGGAGGGAGAGGGAGGTTCACACATCAACCTTTGTTGATACTGATTCTCAGCAGCAGCTCTGAGTTTAGGGCACCCCTCCTGGACTTGGTGCCCTACAGATGTTTCTGGACTGCAGTTCCTAACACCCCTGATCATTGGTCATGTTGGCTGGGGCTGATCGGAGTCAGGAGTCCAGCAACATCTGCTGGGCAAGAGGTTCAGGGAGGTGGGCTAACACTGACCTTATACTGGCTCTCCTGGGCTTCAGATGGGGGTCTTTCTCAACTCTCCCAGGGGGATTTTCTGCATGCAAAGTGGGTGCTCCTTCTATGAGCCACTGAGTGGAATGTTTCCTAGTTGAAAGAAATGGGCAAAACTGACCAGCACACAGAACACCTTGCTAGTTTATCTGGTCCTCCTTTGAACTATTGCCATGGCACAATCAAGTAACTAATCTTGGCATGTGATCTTCCCAAAGGCTGAACACTGTCAGAGGACAGGACACTAGGCTGGGCGGATCCTTATTTTGATCCAACAAGTTGCAAGGGGGAAGGGATGTTGGTCCTCTCAACGGTACTTCAGGCTGGATCCAAGTATCCATTTCTCTTTCTTTGAATTTAGCCCCTCTGTTTGTGGAGGAGAATGGAGAAGGTGCGTACAGTCATCTATCCAATTCTTCACTAAGAATGGGGTGGGCAGCATGACTAGGGGTCAGAGATTATGGGGATTTTGGTCCAAGAACATCTTGAGGTCCTCAGGCTGGGGGACAGAATCCTGAGCCAGACAGACCAATGGCTTGATTTTGTACAAAGCTGGTTCAGCAAATCATAGAATTGCAGAGTTGGAAGGGACCCCAGGGATCATATAGTCCAACCCCCTGCAATGCTTCTTCATGCAAGTGGCCCATTTTTAGCAGGAGCTGATCTTACCCAGGACTTGTGCATACAGATAACAGTTGCTTTATACTGATCTGTCAGGCTCTGAACTGTCCATTCTGAAGCCTAGCTTGCCACTTTAAGCAGTATATGAATTAACAGTTAATTAAAAATAATAATTACGGTTGGCAGTAGGTCTTGGGCAAGGGCTCTGAGATCCTTTGAAGTGGGGGTGCTGGCCCCTAGAAAATCCTGCATATGAGCTCTTCTGTCTTCTGATGGGGAGATTTTGGGTTTCCAATCTTTTAGTGTGATGGGCTGTGCCCTGTGGAACTCCCTACCAGTTGAATTTTGGTGGGAGCTGTTCCTGCTCAATTTTAGGTGATGTTTTAGATGACAGACCTTTCGTACTTGATTTTTCTTTTTTTCATTTTTTTCTGCCAACAAGCTCTTACTGATGTGTTTGTGATGTTTGTATTGTGCTTTTCATATCTATACCGCCTTGCGATATTTTCTTCAACAAGGTGGCTCATAAATATTTAAATAAAATAAAAAATAAAAAATGTATAGTGTAGATTATGGTATGTACCATGCAGCCGCAAACCCTTCTTGATACATGTATGACTGCAGATGTGACTAGATTGCAAGAGTTAATTTGTCTCAATGCCTGCCATTTTGGCAGCCAAATGCATTTGCTGATTGTTCTCCATTGGGGCTCTCAACAGCATAACCTGAACAGGAGGGAGATGTATTGACATAAAACAAGCAGGCTGCTGTTTGAGTCTGAACATATTTAGATGGAAGTCCTTGTCAGGGAGGGAGGGAGAGAGAGAGAGAGAGAGAGAGAGAGAGAGAGAGAGATGGGATTTCAGTCAGTTCTGCAGAAATTACCATGGCAACCAATTATTCAGGCCTAAATTATAACTGTTCATATCGCCAGCAAAAAGCAACAGTAGATTTCTCTCTCTCTCCCCCCTCCCCTTTCTCCCCATTATTAAATGGAAAACTTGAAGGACACAGAATTACTAGCCAGTGGTGTCTTTGTGTGTTTCGATACCCATGATTTAGATCCAGCTTTCCCAACCTGGTGCCCTCTTGATACTTTGGACTATAACTCCCATGGGCCCAGGCTAGTCTAAAACATCAGGAGGGGCCTAGATTGAGATTTGGGGGCTTATATCAAGTGTGAGCATTCATCCGGTCATGATGCGAGCTGGTCCAGGGATGCTCAAATATTTGCAGGCTGGAGGTGGTGCCATTCAGAATCTGAGAGAAAGTAAAGGGATGTTCTCAGGTCATTGGTGAGTTTGCTCTGTGCATCTGGTGGCAGCCCCCACCCCACCCCCATACAGGCCATTGAGAATCCAGTCCTTCTGATCTGCATATCCCCACTCCTTTCATCTGCATAGCCCTGCTCCAGGTTCTCTCATTCATGTTAAGCCAGGGGTTCGCAAACTTTACCTCACCTGGGCTGCTTCACTCCAGAGGAGATCCTTCCATGGGCTGGATCATGTGCATGCGTGAGCGCCCCCCCCACGATTTCCAGCGTCTGTGTCTGTGCAGACGCAATTTTTGGCATCTTCATCTGTGTAGATGCGATTTCCGGTTTAGCGCAGCGCGTGGGGACTCACCAAGCAGGTGGCTCGGTTCAGGGGTGGCTCGTGGGCTGGTTAAACAACCCCCATGGGCTGCTTATGGCCCATGGGCCTTAGGTTGCCGCCCCCTATGCTAAGCTGTGACAGAAAGGTGGTATTCTGGGGGGAAATCCATCATTTATTGTTTCAACCAAGACACTTATGCATGGAACACTGGATAGAGTGAAATCATGACTATAGAACCATAGAACCGTTGAGTTGCAAGGGACCCTAAGGGTCATCTAATCCAAGGCCCTTCAATGCACAAATCACAGCTAAAGCATCCCTGACAGGTGGCCATCCAACCCCTGTTCAAAAACCTCCCATGAAAGAGAGTCCACCACCTTCTGAGGGAGTTGGTTCCACTGTAGAAAAGTTCTTATCATCAGAAACTTCCTCCTAAAGTTTGGTCAAAATATCATTTCTTGTCATTTGATTCCATTGGTTCAGGTCCTGCTCTCCAGAGCGGGAGAAAACAAGCTTGCTCCATCTTCCCCGTGGCAGCCCTTAAGATATTTGAAGATGGCTTTGATGGCACCTCTCAGTCTTCTCTTCTCCAGGCTAAACGTATCCAACTCCCTCGACTGTCTCACATAGGCTTCCAGACCCTTTATCATCGGCCAGATGTTTGCACATCAGTTTTGGTGCTTGTGCAGCAGCTGTAAATACAAGCAGCACCAAAAGCTTCAGGGGGGCAGCGGCAGTTACTTCCTATGCAGAGCATTCCAGTTGTGCCGGGGATGCAGTTGGGTCTGCCCTATTCTGGGCTTCTGTCCCTGTCCAGGGTGCTGAAATCTTCCTGGCTTTATCACTGCCAGCTCTTGGCGCAGCATGTACTTGCGGCCTTTGCCAGATAGAAAGGGAGGCTGCAAAAATGTTGCTCTAAAGCAGTGCTGCTCTCTTTTGGATCCATGGCATAACTGTGCATCCGGATAAGACTGTTTTCACATTACATTTAAGGTATACGCTCAAGACAATTTCAAGCGCTTGCATGACACAAATGTATCCCTGACCATTGATCATACTGGCTGGAGGTGATGGGAGTTGGAAGTCTAACAATGCCCAGAGCCCCCAGAATTCCCCAACTCTATTTTTTTTGATCATATTTATAATGCTTGACCCACTGACCGCAGCTTGGTCAGGTTTTTCTTTTGTAATCAAGTGGTTCTGTTCTTTTTACCCAGACAAGCAAACTTTAACTGCACACGTTTGACAGATTATTATTGTGAATAGAATATGTTTTAACTGTTCTTCATTCTGAATTTTAAAATGGCTGTCACCTGCCCATGGATCTGCTGTTGAAGGGCAGCTAATGACAATAATGACGACAAGAGAAAGTTGCCTTCCGGTCTTAAAGATCAGAGCTGTGCCTTTGAAGCTGCCCAGGAGGGGGTTGTGTGTGTGTGTTAAGCAGTCTCATTGCTGACAGGAGAGCTGACCGTTCTCTGCCTTCTGCCTCTTTTCTTAAGAACATAAGAATGTAAGAACAGCCTGCTGGATGAGGCCAGTAGCCCATCTAGTCTAGCACCCCGTTCTCAGAATGGCCACCCAGATGCCCCAGTGGGAAACCTGCAAGCAGGACCTGAGTGCAACAGCACTCTCCCAGGAACCAGAAACCATTAGCATTACCACTTCCAACAGTGGAGGCAGAGTAGCCATGGAAAGCCTTCTCCTCCATGAATTTGCCTCATTCAATTTTATGACCCGTCTTCCTTCAACTCATGCATGCGTGTTTGTTTTTGTTGAAATCTAGGGGAACCAAGACGACGAAATCTCCGAAAACGAAGAGGAAGCAGGAGAGAAATCAGAGAGCGAAGGCAGCGACTATTCCCCCAACAAGAAGAAGAAGAAGAAGCTGAAAGAGAAGAAGGAGAAGAAGGCCAAGAGGAAAAAGAAGGAGGAGAACGAGGAGGAGAACGAAGAAGGAGGCTTAAAAGTAACCCTCAACTCTAGATATCTTGGGATGTGGCAACCAGCAGCTTGGTGCTGTGATGGGGCTGGGTAAGGAGAGGGCATCACATTAGTACTACAGACGAAGGCTCTGTGTACACATGCACTTGCGTGTGCCTGGTACCCATATGGGAACATCCTTGACTCAGCGTATTTGATGTTGAGTTAGCCATGGGCACCCAATCCTATCTTAGGACCGCCTATGCGATGGCTTTCTTCTCAAGTGTCTTGGCGTGACAAGAGCTGATCCCTGGCAGCTTATGTCTTAGGCTTGCCATCTCTTAGGGTGACCAGAAAGAACCACGGGCAACAATTGTTATCATTATTTTGATTGCATTTGCCTTTTCCTCCAAGGAGGTCAAGGTGGTGACCATGGTCTTCCCACTCCTCCTTTCCCACAACAACCCTGTGAAGTGGGTTAGACTGAGAAACAGTGATGGGCCCCCAAGGTCACCCAGTGAGCTTCATGGCCGAGTGGGGGAATTGAACTCTGGTCTCTCAGCTCCTAGTCTGCCACTCAAACCACTACACTACGCCTGCTCCCTGTGTCCCTGTGGCTTGCAAATGGCCCTATGGGTAGGCCTTTGAACTGCTTGGTTTCCACCAAGGACCCTTGGGGAGTGTGCTTCTTTGGGGTCCAGGGAAGGGTCTGTGATGCCCCAGCATTGTTGAAGCTAATCAGGATCAGGCCTCATGAGACACGAAGCTCCAAGAAAGTCAAACGGAGCTTCTTAATGGAGCACGGTAGGCTTGCAAGGTGTTTTTCTTCCCTCTGAAGAGGCACTAACCATGTCTTCCTCCCTTCTAAATCAGCAGCCACCAGAACGCCACGGGTACAAGGATGACTACAGCCAGGTGAGTGTGCCTGCTGCAACTCTGTGGGAAGGTGGTGGGGAAATGTCTGTGAATGGCTTAGTGTATCTGGCTGTTAACCAGAAGGTTGGTGGTGCAAGCCCACCCAGAGATGGCTGTGGGCAGGATTCCTGCATGGTCCCTTCCAACTCTATAATTCTATGACTCCTCTGTGATGCTGTTTGCTAAGCATTTCACCCAGCTCTGCCTTGGAAGTTGCAGAAGTTAGTGGGGAAGCTTCACTGTAGCTCTTGGCTCTCCTGTAGGAGCCCAAGACCTCGGCTCAGCTCATGGAGGAGTGGGGTCTGGATGATGTGGACTATGCCTTTTCCGAAGAAGACTATCACATGCTGACAAACTACAAGGCCTTCAGCCAGTTTCTCAGGTAGGTCATGCCGTTCCCTGCCTGGCTTGATCTGGTCCTGTGTTTGTGTGTCTGTGGACTTGAACTGGTGTCCTGGATTTCTGTTAATGGTCCTCTCTGCTTCTTCTCCAGACCTTTGGTTGCCAAAAGGAACCCCAAAATCCCCATGTCCAAGATGATGACTGTTCTGGGTGCCAAGTGGAGGGAGTTCAGCGCCAACAACCCCTTCAAAGGCAGCTCAGCTGCTGCTGCTGCAGCCGCCATAGCAGCGGCCGTCGAAACCGTTGCCATAGCTTCGGCGCCACTGACCCTCAGCCCCCAGCAACTGCTGCCACCACCACCCGCCATCAGGAAAGCCAAAACCAAGGAGGGAAAGGGTAAAATGGGGTGGAAGAATGCGAATGGATGTGCTAGCTATTATTAATAGAACAATGAGGGCTGGGGAAGTGTTACGGCCAAAAAAAGGTTGATAAAAAGTTGAAGAAAAGAGGGAGAGGGAGAGGGAGAGGGAGAGGGAGAGGGAGAGGGAGGGAGGGAAGCCCAGGAAAGTCTTGAGCCCTTGATATCTGCTGAATGCTCAAACAAGGGAAGTACTTGGGATTTTAGGGCTCAGGAGAAGTAATGAAATTCAGGTGGTCTCCATTGCAAATGCCTCTATGTTCCTGCAGGTCCCGGTGTGCGGAAAAAAATTAAGAACACCAAAGAGATCAAGAAGAAGGGGAAAGGGAAGAAAGTGGGGGCTCTGAAATTCCGCTTTGGGGGAATCGCCAACAAGAGGAAAAAGGGCTCCTCGGTAAGTAAGCTCCTGTCTGTACTAAAGCCCAGTGTTCCTGGGCACGTGCAAAATCACTGCTCACATGCCTGCAACCTTTGCAATAACAGTGGCAGTCCCCTGACCTCCCCAGCTTCCTGCATCCTCCTGCCTGCCCCACGACTGCACTAAGTCACTACTTCTGCGACTGGACAGCTCTTGTTCACAGAGAGGTGGGCAGTGGTGTAGTGGTCTAGGGCAGTGTTTCCCAACCGGTGTTCCGCGGCACACTACTGTGCCGTGAGACATCGGCTGGTGTGCCGTGGGAGGGAGGCGGGCGAGAGGCGGCGGCGGCGAGGATCCGGCGGGGGTGGGGGGAGCGGGGGCCGTCGCGCGCAACCGAACTCACTTGGCGCGCTGCCGGCTTGTCCTCCTTCAACCCGGGTCGGGCCAGGCCTGCTCACGTCCCCGGATCCCCTAGCAGCAGCCGCACGCTCTCCAAAAGCGCAACGCTGCGCGCAACCGCTCGGCCAGCTGGTGCTCTGCGACTCCGCCCTTTCCCCTCCCAGCGCCGGAGGGTTCGCGCGACCGCAGCTGTTCCCTTTCGCAGCGCGCGGGAAACAATTCCAGGCCGATTGCCTTGTGCCGAAAAGCACCGCCTCTCCTTCCAGCTCAGGCCCGGGCCGCCGGCTCCCCGAATGACGTCACGGGGGCGGGGCTTTAATGGTGGTGTGCCGCGAGATTTTTTTCCGGTAAACAGGTGTGCCGTTGCCCAAAAACGTTTGGGAAACACTGGTCTAGGGGTGTGGAGGGTTGAAGTCCTGTTATTCTTTATGAAGCTGGGTCATGGTCTCCAGGGTCCTGGGGCTGCCCAATCAGCATGAAGGGGGAGCTTTTTAGCCAATGAGAAGAGGTCTTCTCACCCTCTATGCTGATTGGAGCCAATCAGAGTGGGAGGAGGCAAGTCGGCCTCTGAAGATGGGTTCCTCGGGTTCCTCTGGAGAAGACACACAGGAAGAAGACCTAGGAGGAATTGTTTTGTGTGCTCCAGGGCTAAGCATTTAGGTGCTTCAGTTTCAATGGAACCCAAGTTCTGCTATGAACAGCATGGAAAACAGGTTGCTCCACAAGATTGTATTGGAGCACTCCAAATCTTTTACCTGTGTGGGTTCATGGAAAATAGTAGATCGAGCTGAAAGGCAGCACAAGGAGATCTGCATTGATCGCTGTAATGCATCCCTAGTTACATTGTCTAATGCTAGAAGGTTGTGCCATCTCGAAGGGTGTGGTTATGGCTGAAGACGGGTGGCATGGGCTGGTGGCCGGGAGGGTCCCTAGTGTCAGCAGTGCTAACCACGTGGCTTCCCTTCCAGAGCGAGGAGGAGGAACGGGAGGAATCTGACAGCGCCAGCATCAACAGCTCCTCAGTGCGCTCCGAGTCCTCTGCTGTTCTGGGCAAGAGGGGAAAGAGGCGGAAGAAGAAGAAGAAAAGTAGGTCATCAACCAGGCACTTCTCTCAGGGCTCACCAGGGCTGCCCATGGGGAGGGGCACGGTAATGGCTGGTGCAGGGCTTCATCCTGACAGGGCAGCACACCAAGAGCTATGCACACACACTTTAGTAATGGAGAGAGTGCTCTTGTGCTCAGGTCCTGTTTGCAGGATTCCTAAAGGGAGTCTGGGTGGCTCCTGTGAGGATGCTGGACTCGCCTGATCCAGCAGGATCTTCTGATATTCTTATGCAGGCATAGGCAAACTCGGCCCTCCAGATGTTTTGAGACTACAACTCCCATGATCCCTAGCTAACAGTGGTCAGGGATGATGGGAATTGTAGTCCCAAAACATCTGGAGGGCTGAGTTTGCCTTTGCCTGTTCTTATGTTTTGATGTGTCTGGGAAGACCAGAAGTGGTGGGTAGTGGCTGGGGCAATGGTGCCTGTGGGCACAAACATTTCTGGGCACCTCCAAAGCCATTGAGCTCCCCGCATCTTGGTCATGGGAGTTTACATAGAGCTGAAGAAGGAAGTTGGCAGAGTGACCCTTTCTCACTTCACCCTTCCGCTCTATGTGCTTTCCAAAACTCAGATTCATTCTACTGGATCAGGTATTTACTTAGGTGGCAGGTGGAGAGAGAGAAATGACCAGAGGAGGTGGTGCCTATGACACTTGCTCAAAAATCCGAATGAGCCCATGGGCCTAAAAAGGTTGGTGACCCCTGGGCTGGAGGGTATCTCCATCAATGACTATTTGCCATGATGGCTTCATGTAACTGGTAAACTGAGTGGCGATGAATGCCATTCACTGTGGAACAATGGTGGGAGATGGCTATTGCTTCATGTCCTCCTTGTGAGCTTCACAGAGATAGCAGCCTGACCATTTTGGGAATCTGTGCCCCCCCCATCCCAGATCCTTGGCCATGTTGTGGTCTAACAACATCAAGGATGACCACCAGCTCTCCACTCCTGACATAAGCCTTTGGCATCAAGGCTCTTTCAGTTCTGAAACCAGTCCTGAAGCCAGACTGATAATCCTTTCCCACAACAATGTCTGCAGCTGACCAGCCACCACGGACTCAATGACCTTGCCCACCCATTCCAAATGGTCTTTTAAATGTATAGTTCTGTGTCAGTGTCTATAATTCATGTACAGGGAATGAGGCTTCCCTTCATTGCTGTGTTGAAAAACAATGCATTAGATAGCTAACAATGAATTCCTTTTTTTGTTGCTCTGGAGTAAACTTCCATGGGATTAGGAAGTATCCTGGCAAAAAGATGCAGGAGGAAATGATTAATAATAGGACCCACAAAAGAGAGGATGGAAGTCCAGGAGATTCCTTGGAATCTTGTTTTTATGATTTATGTTTGATATATCTCTGTAAATTTTAATTTGAAAAACCAAATAAATAAATTAAAAAGAAAAGCAAGTATCCTGGCAATATTATAAGCTATGATGGCTATCTTGAATTATATTCATTGTTTTGACGGATTTGTTGTTGTTGCTTTATATGCTATTGTGTTTAATAGCATAGTGGTTGCAACGTTTGTTGTTTCTTAATGCTGTTGTGATTATTGTGAGCCACTTTGAGCTCAGCATTTGTTGTTCGAAAAGCGGGATGCAAATATTAAATCGACTCACCTCAACTAATTGAGGAATCCCTGATAAGCAGTCCAGAATGTTGTTTCCTCCACCTGGCTTTTGCCTTCCAGTTGAAGAAGGAGACGGCTACGAGACAGACCACCAGGATTACTGCGAGGTGTGCCAGCAAGGAGGGGAGATCATTCTCTGTGACACCTGCCCCCGGGCCTACCACCTCGTCTGTTTGGACCCAGAGCTGGAGAAGGCGCCGGAAGGGAAATGGAGCTGCCCGCATTGTGTAAGGAGGTTTGGCTCTTGAGAGTCAGCCGTTGGCAAGAAAAGGGTGCAGGATGTGCTTTGAGGGAGATTTCTAACCTGTATGGCAGACTATTACCGTATTTTTCACTCTATAAGACACACAAGACCATAAGACGCACCTAGTTTTTGGAGGAGGAAAACAAGTAAAGAAATATTTTGAATCCCAGAAGCCAGAACAGCAAGAGCGATCACTGCACATTGAAAGCAGCGCCCCCTCTTGCTGTTTTGGCTTCTGGGATAGCTGCGCAGCCTCTTCAGGGCAGCGGGCTCCCCCTGCCCTGAAGAGGCTGCGCGCGGCTAAACCAGAAGCTATAACAGTGAGAGGCAGCACTACGCAGTGATCCCTCTCGCTGTTCTGGCTTCTGGGATAGCTGCACAGCCTGCATTCGCTCCATAAGACGCACACACATTTCCCCTTACTTTTTAGGAGGGAAAAGGTGCATGTTATAGAGCAAAAAATACAGTAGTTCTGGGGCTAATTGCTGAGCTGAGGAAACTGCAGCACTATAATCCCAGAGTGCTTAAACAGTCAACCCCAGGGAATTCAGGGAATTGTAGCTCTGGGAGCAGAATCAGGGACTCTTCTAGTACCTCTGAGAACCCTTAACAACTTACAACGCCCATAATTCTTTGGGGGACTATTTAAGTGGTATCATAGTGCTTTAAATATATGGTGTGAACATTGCTATGGTGAGGGGAAAGTATCTAGCTCCGAGGATGCCATATGATAATCAAGCAGCTCTGGATATCAAATGCAGGTGTCAAATATTAGGCAAATGTCTCTGCAGACAATATCTGGATAGCTTTGGTTTTTTATTATAAAACTAGTATACACTAATGAACATTCCAAGGCCACCCCCAAGTGGTTTACTTACTAAAATAATTTTACACACCCACCCACCCCTACCTCACAATATTTTATAAGAATTAAAATTTATTAAAAATTAGGCCTGTATTTACTCTGGTATAGGGAGTACTGTTGCTTGAAGCAAACGTTGCATGATTTCTTGTGTTCCGTAGGGATGTGACATCACACTGGATTCAAACATATCCCCTTAATAAGGACTGATTCTAATGATCAGAACATCATGATTCCTATGTTTGCCTTAAACACACATTCCATAGAAGCAGTGTTTTATTTCATCCTCAGGGGGAGAAGAGACTTCACTTCCTAGAAGCATACTTTGTTATTTCTGTCAACTTGCACAAATCTGTTTTGCCTGACTCGTGCCATTTCACCATCTTAAGCAAGCCAATTAATTTTCCCCAGTCTCTTATGCACAGCTGTTTTTAAACTGCCTGATAAATCTCTCAAATAAATTTTACTGGAGGCCATTGCAGAGGAGATAAACATGGCGGGCCCAGAGTTGGGATGTGAAACATTTCAGCTCTGCCTTCCCCTTTACACCAGGAAAAAGAAGGCATCCAATGGGAGCCGAAGGAAGAGGACGAGGAGGAAGAGGAGGTTGGCGAGGAAGAGGACGACCACATGGAGTTCTGCCGCATCTGCAAGGACGGAGGGGAGCTCCTTTGCTGCGACACCTGCCCGTCCTCCTACCACCTGCACTGCCTCAACCCACCTTTGCCGGAGATACCAAATGGTGAATGGCTCTGCCCCCGTTGTACAGTGAGTGTTTTACCAGCCTTCCTCATGCCATCTGCTCCCTTGCGCCCCCTGGCAGTGGGGCCGGGCTTGATGCCAACGGCTCGGGACCTCCAAGGTGGGACAGCCAGCGGCCGGCTCTCCTCTGCCAGGTCCTAGCCTGGATCCTGAGGTTCTCTTTTGCTCATATGCATTCACTGGAGAAGAACGCAAAAGCCCTGCCACCAGTCAATCCCCCTAAAGGTGCGTTTGGGGAATTTTGTCTGGCAAGGAGCAGAGGTTCCACCCTCTCTTTCCTGTCTTCTTTTTTAAAAAGTCAAATCCACACCAAGTACAGTGGAACCTCGGTTCCCAAACGCCTTGGAAGCTGAACGTTCTGGCTCCTGAACAATCAAAAACCGGAAGTGATTGTTCCAGTTTTTGAACGTTCTTTGGAAGCCAAACATCCGGTGCGGCTTCCACTGCTTCTGATTGGCTGCAGGAAGCTCCAATCAGATGCCGCACCTTGATTCTCAAACTGTTTGGGGAGTCGAACAGGCTCCTGGAACGGATTAAGATCGGGAACCAAGGTTCCACTGTAAAGTTTCAGAATGGAAAAGGCACCCCCCCCCATTATTTTTGTTCAGTTTTCTAAAAATATATATAAGAAAGGTATAGTTTCATCTTTGCAGGTCCTGCATCAAGAAGATGGGTCAAAACAACCCATCTTTAAGGGATCTTCCGACTTTATAATTCAGTTGCACAGTTTCTGCCTTTCTGTTTGGGGGGCTAGAAATTGTCTTCTCTCTTCCTCCTGCTTTGCTTCTTGGGCGACTCCACTCTCTTTGCCAGCTGGTTGCCCTGGTCTCCCCCTCTCCCTTCCTTTAAATTGTAAGCTCCTCAGGGCAGAGACCCTTCTCCCTCCCACTCACCCCCAGGCTGGTTGTGTACTCCGCAACACAGGCAAGTGAGACGTCCTGCGCTCAGATCTTGTTCTGGATCTTGCGGGCGAAGCCAATTGTAGATTGTGTGCGTCTCGCCATCTTTCGTCCTCAGTGTCCCGCCATTGAAAGGGAAAGTGCAGAGGATCCTCCACTGGATCTGGCAGGAGCCCCCAGCCCCGCTTGTGCCAGCCTTGCCCTCGGCAGATCTGGAGCTGGCTGCCCTGCCACCGAAGCCTCTGGAGGGGATCCCCGAGAGAGAGTTCTTCGTGAAGTGGGCAGGACTGTCCTACTGGCACTGCTCCTGGGTCAAAGAGTTGCAGGTGAGTAGGCAGTCCCAGCAGGCCCTTGGGGGGGGGGAGTTCTGCATGCAAGCCATACGGTCTACCCACTGAGCTACGGCCCTTTCTCAGCGCTCTCCCTTTACAGCTGGAGCTCTACCACACGGTGATGTTCCGCAACTACCAAAGGAAGAACGATATGGACGACCCTCCGGCTTTTGACTACGGCTCAGGCGACGAGGACACCAAGATTGAGAAGAGGAAGAGCAAAGACCCCGAGTACGCCAAGATGGAGGAGAAGTACTATCGTTACGGGATCAAGCCCGAATGGATGATGATTCACCGTATCCTCAACCACAGGTGAGGAGGCCCACGTCTCACCTGTGTAAATTGGATTTGTTGGCTCGGGAAGATGGTTTCGCAAATGTCAAATGATTAAAGGTCAAAGGACAAGTTTTCGGCAGACTGGCCTTTGTTTATCAGTCTTATATCTGGGGATCTGGTGGATTAGCTGCAACTGCATATAAGATGGTTTGGTCTTTTTTAAAGGGAAAACAGGGTCAGATGAAGAAGATGTGGATCTAATTAACAAAGTTTCTTCTATATTATAGTATTTTTTTATTATTATTATTATTATTATTATTATTATTACTATACCAATTTTTGTCAGAAGACCATGGGGAGGTTTGCAGCATACAACACAAATGTCATAAAATAATATCTGCACAACATGAAATATACTAAACAGAAGATTCTTAATCCTACTTCTAGAATGTGTAATCTGAATCCTGAAAAACTGTTCATTGGTGGACTGGGGCAGGTTTGTGGCTCTGCTCTGAAAAACCAGCTATGTCTTCTGCTTCCCAGCTTTGACAGGAAAGGAGATGTCCACTATCTGATTAAGTGGAAGGACCTGCCGTACGATCAGTGCACCTGGGAGGTGGATGAAATCGACATTCCGTACTACGAGAACTTCAAGCAGCAATACTGGAATCACAGGTCAGGGGGTGCGGCATTGTGCAGCACACGTCAATGGGCAGCCAGGGGCCTATTGCATTCAGATAATCAGAGAATAAAATCACAGAATTGTAGAGTTGCATGGTGTCCCCAAGGGCCATCTAGTCCAACCCACTGCAATGCAGGAATCACAGCCAAAGAATCCCCGAGAGCTGGTCACAAAACCTCTGTTTAAAAAACTTAAGTGAAGGAGAGGCCGCCACCTTCCAAGGGAGTCTGTTCCACTGCCCAAAAGCTCTTACCACCAGAAAATTCTTCTTCGTGTGCTTAAGGCATTTATGGCCTGCCCTTTAGCCAAAAAAGTCCTTAAGTAGGGTTGCCAATTTTGCCAATTTCCCCTTAAAATATCTCAGAAAAGGTGCCGATTTGGCCAATTTCCCCTTAAAATAGCTCAGAAATGGCAGTTATTCTTTATTTGCGAACAACGTTTCCATCCCAATTTTCACAGTTTGAAATATGGCAACCCTACCTTAAGAGTGGCTTAGAACAATCAGTGCTAAGATGGTCCCTTGTCCTCAGACACACAGTTTAAAGAGACATGACACAAGAGGGGAAAAGAATGGGAAGGGGGAGGGAAAAGCAAGCTCAAACACTTCTCAGTTGTTATTATTATTATTTATTAAATTTGTATACTGCCCTTCATCGGGAGATCTCAGGGCAATTCACAACACAAAAATACAAGTTAAAAACATAATAAAAACAAGAGCAGAGAATGGAGGATGTATAGATTCTGTTTCTGTGTCAGTTCTAGCTTTGCTCTCCCTCTTCCATTCCCATACTACACACCTATCCTTGCACTAGCTCTCCCTCCTCTGTCCTCCTTCCCTAAATCAGCCCTTTTGCCCTTCCACCTTTCACCAGGAGAAGTTGGAGTGTTTATGGATGTTCCATGCCACCCCAGCAGCTTAGCCAGCCCTGTCTTATTACAGTATATTGAAGCCAGGGCTCTTACAGCTAGGGGCTAGAGAGGTGCCCAATCCCGCAGTCTGTGTTTACGTCCATTTTGTCATTGGGTTCAAATTGACAAAGATCCCTTGCAAACATCCTTGAGTTTTAATCTGAGATGCCGTCGTTGTTTCTGTGGTTGTTGCAAGTGGCTGAAGAGATCAGCCCAAGTTGGCTTTGCAAACAGAGATGTCATGTCTCTGGCGGGTGTGTGTCAGTTTTCATAGCTCAGTGCTTGTAATGCAGAAGATCCCAGGTTCCATTCCTATCATCTCCAGGTAGGGTTGAGAAAAGACCCCTGCCTGAACTGTGGAGAGCCTGGACAGATCGATGGTTTGACAAAAATGATGATCATAGAATTGTAGTATTGGGAGTGGCCCCAAGAGTCATCTGGTCCACCCCCCTGCAGTGCTGGAAGCACTTGGTCTAAGGTGGCATCCTGCACCACACTGACTTTTGTGTTTGATTCCCTTGCAGGGAGATGATGTTGGGAGAGGAGAGCAGCCAGACTGCCAAGAGGCTGAGCAAGAAAGGGAAGAAGTTCAATGATGAGAAACTAGAAAGGCCTCCAGAATCACCTCTTGTGGATGTACGTTCGGGATATGGAGGGAGGGGGGGAGAGCTTGTTTCCCCACCCCCTCCTCGTACACGTTTCTGTTTCCTAGATGGCATTTTGTCCCCCTTAAAAATGGTTATTGAAAGCTTCTTACAGTTTCTTTCTCACCTTTTGGTCTGCTTCCCAGAGTTCAGTAGGCACTGGCTGCGCAACATCAAGAATGCCGCTGCAGTCATAAGGGCTAGCTGCTTGGTTTTAAGCAAAAGGAAAGATCAGCCCTTAGCAATTGCGTTTTGAAGCAATGGAAGATTCAATTGCATACCCGTCTTTTTTATTATTAAAAAAGCGATGAGTCAACTGGAAATGTCTTCCATACTTGACGGCTTTAATGGCATGCCTTGTTTTCTTACTTCCCCTGCAGCCCACTGTAAAATTCGACAAGCAGCCGTGGTATATTGATACAACCGGTGGGACGCTGCACCCTTATCAGCTGGAGGGTCTCAACTGGCTGCGGTTCTCCTGGGCGCAGGGAACGGACACCATCCTCGCTGATGAGATGGGCCTCGGGAAGACCGTCCAGACCATTGTGTACCTTTACTCCCTTTACAAAGAGGTAGAGGCCTCTCCTGTGCTATCCCTGACTTAGAAACACAGAATCATAGAATTGTAGTGTTGAAAGGGATTGCCAAGGGTCATCTAGTCCAACCCCCCGCGTAATGCAGGAATCACAGCTCAAGAATCTCCAGCAGATGGCCACCGAACCTCTGCTTAGAGACCTCCAACGAAGGAGAGTCCATCGCCTTCCGAGGGAGTCCATTCCACTGTCAAACAGCTTTTACTGTCAGAAAGTCCTTCCTGATGTTTAGTCGGACTTTCCTTTTTTGCAATTTGAATCCATTGCTTCAGGTTCTCCCCATTGGAGCAGCAGAAAATCAGCTCGCTCCATCTTCCATGGGGCAACCCTTCAGATATTTAAAGATGGCCATCATAGCCCCTCTTGGTCATCTCTCCTCCAAGCTAAACAGACCCACAACCATTCTTCCTTACCTGGCCTCCTTTGCAAGGAGGTTGTTTATGGGGAAATCCCTCCCCTTTGCACAGAAACACTCCTCTTTCCCTGAACAGGGCCACTCCAAGGGTCCGTACCTGGTCAGCGCCCCCCTTTCCACCATCATCAACTGGGAGCGGGAGTTTGAGATGTGGGCACCCGAATTCTACGTGGTCACGTACACCGGCGACAAGGAGAGCCGGTCTGTGATTCGCGAGAACGAGTTCTCCTTTGAGGACAACGCCATCCGGAGCGGGAAGAAGGTTTTTCGGATGAAGGTGAGCACTGGTTGGCGGGGAGTGAGCAAGCATCGTTTGCTTATGAACATAGAAAGCTACCTTATGTCACAATGGACCACTGCTCCATCTAGCTCAGTATTCCTGACACTGGCCGGCAGCCAGGGTTTCAGGTGTGGATCGTTCTTCCTAGCCCTCCCTGGAGATGCCAGACATAGTGGGTTGTATCCAAAGTAGTTCTACACAGAGGAGACCCATAAAAACGACTAGGCATAGCCAACTTCGGCCCCATTTGCACCAGAAAGCAGTATCATACCACTTTGAACAGTAATGACGTACTCCACACTGAATCCTGGGAACTATATTTTGTTAGAGCTGTTGTGAAATTTTAGGAGACCCCAGTTCCCCTCAGAGAGCTGGAGTTTAACAGAGGCACAAACTCTCAGAGTGGCTTATATTTTAATTTTTATTTCTTTCTTAATAAATGATACAGAAAATTAAAATAAAGTAAGCAAGCAAATACTAATGCAAAATCAAACTAAAGAAAATACATGTACCCCCTACCCTACAAACAGAAACCCTACGTAGCCCCGTGACTTCCCTCCACCACAACTCGACTTCCTTTAGCTCAAATTTAAATACTATCAGTGCATTCTTTGGATAATACATCTTTTATAGCCATTTCCAATTATTGTTCTCGCTTATACTTTACATACTTAATCCATGCATATCAACATACTCTTTTTAGAGCAGTGTTTTTCCATATACTCCTCAAAACATTGCCATTCTAATCTTAATTTTTGATTTGTCTGGAGCCTTATGACTGCTGTTAACTTTGCCGTTCCTATAAATTCACTTAATTTACATATCCAATCTTCTTTTGTGGGTATTGTCTCACCTTTCCATTTACTGGCGAGAGCTATTCTGGCAGCTGCCATGGCGTATAGAAAGATTGTTTTCCTGTGGGATATCCTTCCCTAATAAACCTAGTAAATACACCTCTGCTTTCTTTTCTATGGTGATTTTGAGCATCTTTTTCAACTCTTTTTTTTTTATAAAAAAAATAATTCTCTCAAGAGTGGTTTAATAATCCTTCACGGGGAACTTTTGAGAATTGTAGCTCTGTGCAGGGAATAGGAGATCTCCTAACAACTCTCATCACCCTCAACAAGCTACAGTTAGGGAAACTTTTTTTAGAGTTTGAAGGGATCCCAAAGGCCATCTAGTCCAACCCTCTGCAAAGCAAGACTCACAGCTAAATAATCTTTGACAGATGACCATCCAACCTCTGTTATGCCAAACCATAGTTAAAACAAGCTGCTGGTTCATAAGCCGATAGCATCACATCATGGTTTGTTGGGTAGAAAACTAAACATGGGTAGTTTGCTGGGCTTGGGTCTATATGTTGAAGCAAACCATAGTTCGGCTTGAACCAAAGCTGGCTTAGCTTTGTGTGTGAACCAGGGCCATCATGGAACCTTGGAAGCTGCCTCGCACCAAGGCAGAATGCTTGCCCACATAGCTCCATCTTGCCTATTCTGCTTGGTAGTGGCACTCCAGACTCAGCGGAAGGAAGAGGTCTTCTATTTGCGCCTTGTAATGAGAGATTCCAGGGAGTAAACCTGGGACATTCTGCATGAAAAGCCAGTGTGCTCTGAGCTCTGGGCCTCTCCCCAGATCACGCCTCTCTTGCTGGCGACATTGTCTCCTTGTTTCCTCTAGAAAGAAGCTCAGATCAAGTTCCATGTCCTGCTCACATCCTATGAGCTCATCACTATTGACCAGGCCATTCTGGGATCCATTGAGTGGGCATGCTTGGTGGTGGATGAAGCCCATAGACTGAAGAACAACCAGTCCAAGGTAGGTGCACCTTTTCAGGGCAGGTTGGCAGAGTTTAGTGCAGGGGTTGAATGACAGATGTTTTCCCCGAACTGCTGATAGCCAAGGCATGCTCCTTTCTGGACTCATAATTGGAGGCACCATGTTGACTTTCAGCGAGAACAAGCTGGTTTTGGGAATGTGTAAAAAGACACAAGGTTACCTGTCCCAAGAGGAGCCAACAAGAACATCGCTCTCCAAATGAGGTAGATCATTGCTCTGGGGGTGCCTCCTAGAATCATAGAAATGTAGAGCTGGAAGGGATCCCAAGGATCATCTGCAATTCAGGAGGTACAGCTAAATAATCTTTGAAGGATGGTGATCCAACCTCTGCTTTAAAGTCTCCAAGGAAGGAGAGTCCACCACCTTCCAAGGGGGAAAGGTGGGTGAACTTGATGGTGGGGCACCAGCTTCCAGAGCAGCCTCTTAATCCTGCATCACATCACATGGGTTAGGAGGGTCAGTAGTCAGTGGCTTCTCTTTGAATGGAAGATTATGTGATGGTTCGACTGCCCAGATCCTTTGCCATAAGCTCTCTGTCAACCCCTCCCCTTTTCTCCAAAGTTCTTTAGGGTGCTCAACAGCTACAAAATCGACTATAAGCTGCTTCTGACTGGGACGCCTCTGCAGAACAACCTTGAGGAGCTCTTCCACTTGCTCAACTTCCTCACGCCAGAGAGGTTCAAGTGAGTATTTAAGGACGTCAGAAGACCCCTGCTGGATCAGACCAATGGCCCATCTAGTCCAGCATCCTGTTCTCACTGCTGCCAACCAGATGCCCCCATGGGAAACCAGCAAGCAGGACTCAAGCACAAGAGCAACTCTCCCCTCCTGTGGTTTCCAGCAATTGGTATTCAGATGCATTGCTACCTCCAGCTGTGACAGCAGAGCATAGCTGTTGTGGCTAGTAGCCATCGATAGCCTTTTCCTTCACAAATTTGTCTAATCCTCTTTTAATTCCACCCAATATGGTGGCCGGCATTGCCTCATGTGGGAGTGAGTTCCATAGTCACTTTATAGAAAATGTCCAGAATCTTCCAACATTCAGCTTCGCTGGATGTCTATGAGTCGCTGTGTTATGAGAGGAGAAAGACTTTTCTCTGTCCACTTTCTTGATGCCATGCATAATTTTATGAACTTCCATCATGTTGCTTCTTCCTCGCTTTTTCTCTAAACTAAAAAAAAACAACCCAAATGCTGCAAGTTATGCCCTTCCTCACGTACCTTCCAAAACAGATTTCCTCAAATGTGTGCCCTCCAGCTGTTTTGCACTGCAACTCCCATCATCCCTAAGCTAGAGTTGATGGAAAATGTGTTCCAAAACAGCTGAAGGGCACCATATTGGGGAAAGCTGTTCTGTGGCAGACCATTGAACAAACGGTAGCTTGAGGCTGAAGCCACACCTTATGCTTTGTTTGGGACTGTGGATGTGCCTGTGGTTGGTTGGTGGTCTGCAGGAAGACTTTGGAGTGACCGGGCTTGTTGTAAATCCTCGTCTTTCCCCTTTGCCTGGCCAGGCTCGCAGGGCTGCCTTCCTGCTGTATTTAAGGCTCTGTTTACCAGATGCCGCCTGCAGCTCTCATTTTGGTGGCTCGCGCATGTGCCAGAAAGCAGCCCTTCCCAACCTGCGCTCAGGTATGGCTGCCCAGAGCTCCAGCCTGGCCAGCTGGCAACAGGACCTTCTCCAGATGTTGCCTTGAAGCCACCCAATGACGCTGTGCAAGACGCATCCTGCAGGCAGAGTGGGTGGCATTTGTTGTGCTGGAGCGCCCTGGCTCCCTTCGCCAAGCCCTGGCTGCTCCATAATCCACCCTCTGCATCCACAGCAACCTGGAGGGCTTCCTGGAAGAGTTTGCAGACATCTCCAAGGAGGACCAGATCAAGAAACTTCATGACCTTTTGGGACCTCACATGCTCCGGAGGCTGAAGGCCGATGTGTTTAAGAACATGCCTGCCAAGACGGAGCTGATTGTCAGGGTGGAGCTGAGCCAGATGCAGAAGTGAGTTCTCCCCTTGCAAGACGTACTGGGCCAGGCCATAGCACAGTGACTGAGCCCTATGGCCCTCAGCTTGGAAACTGTGGGGCAGGTGGGGTGCTTTCATTTGCAGTGGTCCCGGTGACCCAGAAGTTGTTTCACTTGCATGTGGACCCCCACCTTTACTGATCCATTACCATAGTAGAGAAATGGTGGGTGTGTCTATTATTATTATTGGCAATTTTATCATGCTCTTTAGCAGGAAAAAGCTCCCATATAAGTCCATAGTGGCTTCCACAACAGTCCTTGTCCTCAGACTTGTAGTGGAAAAGGGAATGTGAGAACACCCACAACTCCCCACCCTCCACACAAACACACACACGAAACACAGACAGAAAACTCATTCCACTCATCCATCATCCATCATTTATTATACAGTCCCAGGCCTGTCAAAACAGAGTAGACGGTTTGTAAAAAATCAATCAATCATTAAAGCATTCACTTATGGCAAATACAATGTGATACAAAACATGAAACACACATGTCTTTAAGAGACAGCATGACACAAGCATCAAGCATGGTGCACGACCTGCAATTAGAATAATAGTCTCATCTTGTGAGAACTCTGAGCAGAGAAGAAGTTTGGAAAAACGAGCAACACCCCCTCAAAAAGGAGGCAGTGCTCTCAGCTGGACCCCCCCGAAAATGTCCCAAAAAACTTTCAGAAATGTGGTGGTGGTGGTGGTGATCCCACGAGCTACATTCACTAGTTTTTCATGAGGCCGATGGTGCCAGCCTTTTACACATGGGGCCTCCACTTCCCTCTTCCCCCACTGGAAGGCCATTCCAGAGACAGCCTGTTTGCCACCATTTTTCTTCCAGGAAGAGAGAGTGCTAGGGACTTGTTGTGTCCTTGTTTACTTACAGGTTGAGCCGATGGGAAGCAGGGAGGCCCATGTGCTCCTTCAAAGGCCACTGCCCTCCTGCTCTGTGGGGCTGCTTCTTAACAGCTGCTACCCCCCAAAACTCTTGTTCTCTTTTGTGTTTTAGCCCCCCTTCCTTTCACTCTTCCTGGCAGGAGAGTGTGGCTTTCGTTCCAAGCTCCAGAAATCTTTAGTAGAGATTATCTGAATGATAATCTTGGCCATTTGATTGCCCTTTTTACTTATTGCTGTCTTTTTTATTTGTATATATTTTATTTGTATATATTGCTTGTTTTATGTTGCTATGGCCATTGGCTAATGCGAATAAAGTTTATCTTATCTTATCCAAGCTCCAGAAACCTAAGCAAACCATCACAACCCGTTGAGGAAGTCCTGGTAACTTTGCAGAGGTATACAATTGCCTAGGGAAATGCTCATATCCTGTTCACTGCAGGATAGTGTATCTAGGATCTCAGACAGAATAATAGAATTGTAGACTTGGAAGGCACCCAGGTCTCTATTTTGCTTGTGGCTGGGTGGGGATCTAGCATCCCCATTCAGCACCCTTGTGAGTCACGGATATCTTACAGCTTCCAGGGGAAGCCCAGAATCCCCTTAACTAAGATGCCCTTTCCCCGCTTGTGTTCACACAGGAAATACTACAAGTTAATCCTGACAAGGAACTTTGAGGCTCTGAATTCGAAAGGTGGAGGCAACCAGGTGTCCCTACTCAATATCATGATGGATCTCAAGAAGTGTTGTAACCATCCATATCTTTTCCCCGTGGCGGCTGTGGTAGGTCTGTTTCTATTTCATGCCTTCCCCCTCCCCACCTTTGCTCCAAACCGGAGCTCAGATCAGTGTGCTGGGTGGGTGGGCTTCCTAGGCAGTTGCCCATCATAGAGTTGGAAGGGACCTTGAGAGTCATCAAGTCCAACCCCCTGCAATGCAGGAACCTCAGCTAAAGTATCCACGACAGATGGACATCCAACCTCTGCTGAAAAACCTCCAAGGAAGGAGAGTCACTCCCGAGGGAGTCCAGATGGACTTAATAAAAGTGCAGCAGTGGAGCTCCTCTGTATGAATCAGAGTTGGTGGTCACCAATGTGCACCTCTGTCTCTCTTCACCATCTCAGTCTGGGGAGGTTCTGAATCTCTGGGTGAAGTCAAGGGTGGTTTGGACATGGACGAAAGGTCTGAAGCTTACTCCAGCCAAGGCAGAGTTGCTTTTGGCCAAGAGGCCCAACAACCCAGTGTTAAGTGGTCTGCTTGCTCTGGATGAGGTCAATCTTCTCTTGAAAGATCAGGTTCACCATTGGAGGTGGGGGAACTCCTTGACCCAACTTTGCTCTTTCGTAAGAGCATAAGAGGAGCCTGCTGGATCAGGCCAATGGCCCATCTAGTCCAGCATCCTGTCCTCACAGTGGCCACCCAGATGGCACTCAGCAAGCAGGATTCGAGCGCAAGAGCCCTCTCTCCTCCTGTGACTTCCAGCAACTGGTATTCATTACTGCCTCCAACTGCTGAAGCAGAATATATCCCATAAACCTTTTATTTTCTTTATTCCATTTGCTTAAGAACTCTATGCGTCCGTCGCTCACAGTATCTTAAGCCAGCAACCAACAAAATGGGTTGTCTCCTGCTAAGTCCTACTCAGAGCAGACCCACTGGTCCCGGTTAACCATGCCCATTAAATTGCATGTGTCTACTCCGAGTAGGACTGCTGTTGGATGCAAACGGTGTGTTTATCTGTTTAGTCAGCATTATAAAATATTGTCATTTGCGAAGTCGTTCCTGGGACATTTTGCTTGGTCCTAACTACTGTGGATTTTGGATCTTTTCTTGTGGACCTCTTAAGTTATTCAGAACATAAGGACATAAGGAGAAACTGCTGGGTCAGGCGAGTGTCCCACTTAGTCCACCATCCTGTTCTCACAGGGGACAAGCAGTTACGCCAAAGAGAAGCCCGCAAGCAGAACCCAAGCACCAGAACCCTCCCCCCTTTTGTGGCTCCTAGCAATTGGTGTTCAGAAGCATGACTGACTCAAGCACAGAGAGTTGGCTTAGACTGAGCAAGACCACTGGTCCATCCAAGACCGGGTGTGGCTTCATCTCTCTAGAGACACTTCTTGCTCACCCAGTGGCCTCCTAGCAGAGGTCATGTGCTGTGCAGGAGCTGTTCCCTTGCAGGCTGGACTTAGCCATACCCCACTCACTTCCCTTTGCTCTTAGGAAGCCCCGGTATTGCCAAACGGATCCTACGATGGCAGCTCGCTGGTCAAGTCATCTGGGAAGTTGATGCTGCTGCAGAAGATGCTCAAGAAGCTGAGGGACGGTGGCCACCGGGTGCTCATCTTCTCCCAGGTGTGAACAGGTCGAGCGGCAAAGGGTGCATCCACACGACCATTTATTCCATTTCCCAAAAGAAACTGTTAATTTCCGCATCTTATTTGTTCTTCCACATGATGTGAAAGCACTTCAGGAAAACTTTGGGAACGTGGGGCTTGTTTAGCACTCATTTTAGTGTTATTTGACTCTAGAAAGAAAATGGAAAAAACAACTTGTTTGACCAGGAAAAATTGTGGGAGTAAAGTGATAAAAGTTTGGGAGTGGTATACCAGCGTGCAGTTACCTTCCTGGGGAATCCTGAGGCTGCCGTAGAGTGTCTTTTGTTTCTGAATACTTTGGGCTTAAAGGGACCTTTAATTGTTTATTTTTATTTCAGGCGGTGCACTCGCTCATGGTCTGATTATTTTATTTTAATTTTTAAATAGATGACGAAGATGCTTGACTTATTGGAAGATTTCTTGGAATACGAGGGTTATAAGTATGAGAGGATTGATGGCGGCATCACTGGAGGATTGAGGCAGGAAGCCATCGACAGGTTTAACGGTACTTCAGTTTCAGCTTTTCCATGTTCGAGATGCAGGCCTTGCTCCGGCCCGCAGGTGGCTGGTGGAGAGGCAGTGTTGGTGTAGTGGTTAGAGTGTTGGACGAGGACCTGGGAGACCAGGGTTCAAATCCCCACTTGGCCTTGAACCTACCTCACAGGGTTGTTGTGGGGATTAAATGTGGAGGGGGAGAACCATGTAAGCCACTTTAAGCTCCATGGAGGAAAAGAGGGGGGATATAAATGAAATGAATGAATGAATGAATGAATGAATGAATACTGGGGAACCAGCTGGAGCTCAAAGCCACTGAAAGTTTGCAGGATTTGATGTCTTTCCATTGCAAGATACGTAGGATGAAATGGTTTCTTTGTTATCCAAATGGCCAAAAAGGGTTGGGGAGTCATGTTATTTAGCTTAATTCTCATGGACTAGCACAGTTTTCATTCCAGCTTTCCATTGGTTAAAGAGCTACCTCTCCTGCTGCGTTGGTTCCCTGGGGGCTCCCCCTGGCTGGCACAGTTTCATTTACTTATATGCCCCTGGCCCCACTGCAAATCCTTCCTTTAGCTGCAGCCGGTTGGGGGCTGAACAGGCTAGATTTCCAGATCAGAAGGAGGCAAGCTCAGAGCAGGGTCTTGTCTGCAGGCTTCTGGACCACTAGAGCTTTTCCTCGCTCTGTTTATCTGCTTCTCACCACATGCTAGCCCTTCCTTTGTGGCCCACAGCTTGAAAACGGTGGACTTAAGCCAACACAAAATGAATTTGCTTCTACTACTGGTGGAGCAGTTTAGCCAGCTCTGGTAGGGTTCTATAAACGCCCCAGAAAAGGGTGCTCAGGTTGTCTGTTTCTCTCCTGCCTGCTTCTGGATCACCCCTCTTTGTTTGCCACTAACTGATCTTGTCTTCTCCCTGCCCCCCCTTGCAGTCAGGGGCACCTGCTGTCGTTACTAACCCTGACACTTCTCTGTCTCCCCATCCCTCTCGCCTCTCCCCACCCACACCCCACAACCTTGTCGATTTTGTCATCCTCAGCACCTGGAGCTCAGCAATTCTGTTTCCTGCTCTCCACCAGAGCCGGAGGTTTGGGCATTAACCTTGCAACAGCCGACACAGTCATAATTTACGATTCTGATTGGAACCCCCACAATGACATTCAGGTTAATTCCGTCGGTTCTCCCTTGCTGCCTTTGTAACCCCCGGAGTAAAAGGCTCACACTTGCCATCTCCCAACCTCCCACCCTCCTCTTAGCATCCCTCACCTCATTCCCCACCCCCTACCAATCTTGCTGGGGTCCCTCAAAAGCTCCCCCCATCCCTGGCTCCAAAGCAAGTTGCTGGTGTTTCCCAGAAATGCATGCCTGTTTTTCTGACTTCGCTCCTCCTTCTCCTCTTGTATAAATCTTTCCTTCTCCCCCTCTCTGCCCACTGCCATTTTCACAAGGAAATGTTCTGCTGGCTGGTTTTTTTTGTTTTGCTATTTTTCCTTTGCTTCAGCATTTGCTCCAGATGTTCTTCATTTTATTGACGGCTGAAAAATGAAGTTGCTGAAATAATTTATTCATTTGGGGTGTTTGCATGACTAAGGCTGCATTCACACAGCGGTTTACTCCATTTCCCCAATGTTTCCATAACTGTTAATTTCCACGTTATATTTGAGCTTTCAAGCACAAAGGCCCTTTCCCCTCCTTTGGCTTCCAGAAACCGGTGTTCAGAAGGATTTCTGCCTCCAACAATGGAGGTGGAACATTGCCATTGTGGCTAGGAGTCATTAATAGTCTTCTCCTCCGTGAAGGGTCCTCTATGTTATTCTGAAACATCTCATTGCTCATCCATCCAGGCCTTCAGCAGAGCCCACCGGATTGGGCAGAATAAGAAGGTGATGATCTACCGCTTTGTGACGAGGGCGTCTGTCGAGGAGCGCATCACCCAAGTGGCCAAGAGGAAGATGATGCTGACTCATTTGGTGGTGCGCCCGGGCCTTGGCTCCAAGTCTGGCTCCATGACGAAACAAGAGCTGGATGACATCCTGAAGTTTGGCACAGAGGAACTGTTCAAGGACGACGTTGAGGGTGAGATGGCATGGCTGTGCTTGGTGATGCATGCATGAGTAGGGAAGGGTGGCAGCGATGGGGGAACCATGGATGGAATCTGGAACCTTCTGCATGCCAAGTAGGTGCTCTGCAACTGAGTCACAGCTCCATTCCAACATAAGAAGCTGCCTTATGCCTAGCCAGACCATTGGTCCAGCTTGCTTAGTATTGTCTGCACTGACTTACAGCAGCTGCCTAGTGTTGCAGATGGGGGTCTTTTGCAGCCTTACGTGATGTCCAGGATTGAGCCTGGGGCCATCTGTGAATTACTCTATCTCTGTATTTGAAGGGCCAAGGTTCTAAACACCTCACTTACTTGAAGGATCAAATTTCTAGACACATTATGCAATTGAAGTTCCAGGTTCTAGATACCTCAACAGTCAATGGGCTCAGGTTCTAAACACCTCAACCAGTTGATGGAAAATGGTTCTAGACACCATGGTCAGTTGAATGATCCAGGTTTTAGATAGCTCAACCAGTCAAAGGTCTCTTGTTCTAGACACCTCAAACAGTTGAAGAACCAAGGTTCTAGACACCTCAGCCAGTTGAGCTTTACTTGGACTTAGTGGGCCCAAGTTGCTGTGAGAATTAGTGGAGTGTTTGTTTGCTTGGCACAAACCTGTAACACTCACATTTTTTCCTTGCTCCCAGGGATGATATCTCAGGCCCAGAAAATTGGCATACCTGAGGCCATGACACCTTTCATGGAGGCACCAACCTCCAAAGGTGGGACAGTGACTCCTGGCATGAAGAAAAAACATGGCCCTGCTCCTCCAGGTACGTGAAGGACAGAAGGCACAAAAGCCACCAATGCTGACATTCCTTTTTTGCTCTGGAGTTTGTACGTGAGAAGCTAAGACGAGGTGTCAAAGGGGGTCCTTCTTGTCCAGCCTCCTCTTCTCACCGTGGCCAACCAGACACCTCAAAGGGAAGCCAACCAGCAGAACTTGAGTGCCTACAGCCTCTGAAAGTGGGGGGGGGGCAGAGCACAGCCCTTGAGACTAGTAGCTGTGGATCGCCTTATCCAACTTGAATTTATCTAACATTCTTTTGTTTTTGTTTTTTTAAATTTTTATTGGGTTTTCACATTTTATAAAGATATCACACACACAAAAAAGACAAAGACAAAACATGTATAATTTCAGATCCTTACTTTCTTGGCCTTATTCCCTGACTTCCCCCCACCCCCCCTTCATACATCCCAATTCCCATAATTAACTCAGCAAGTTCTAATCTCTCCTCCTTAACATATTGTTAATATTTTTTAATGTAACTCTTCTTAGTTGGCCAAATTTTCCCTTGTCCACATCTCTTATAAACATTAAATCCTTTCCTAAGGTCGACCCAAGTTCCCTTCCACAGATTTCCCATTTTTATATTAGATATAGGTCATACTCACTAAACACAAGAGTCATAAACATTTTTAAAATTCTGTTTTCCCCTCCCTCCCTTCCCCGGTTTCAGTCCCTTCCCAAGTAAATGTCCACAATAACAGTTCTTAGCCTGGATTCCTCACGTCCGAGGCCTTCAAATATCTTTCAGTCCCTCTCTGCCGGTTTTGTTGGTAGTCCTTTGTGTTGGTCATCAGATCTCGAAGGAGTTCTATCTCAGTCAAACCAGATTTTCTTCCCACCAAAATACTTGATGACAGCTGCTGCAAAAAATCAACCAATCCTTCATATTCAAAAGGGAAGCCCCAATCATATTTCTTATTTCTTTTAAGTTCCTGTATTCCAAATACTCCAGGGGCCCCCTCCTTCATCTTCCGCATCTTTCACAGATTTATGATCCATGTGATCCAAAGGTCTTCTTCCTTATATTCCGCCAGTGTAGGCTTCTGGTTGGTACTTTCCATCTGTGCTTTCTCCACTCCTTCCTTCCTCTCCTCCAGTTCTTGAGATATCTCTTCTGATTCAGCTGCAGATTTTTTTCCAGTCAAATCCTTAGTGCATTCAGCAGAGTTGCTTATTCCAGAGGTCAAGGTCATAAGTTGTTTGTTCATAGCCAAGCTCTGCTCTTGCAACATTCCCACGAGAAGAAACATTCTTTCTATCTCTGCCTGTAATTTTCCATCTGCAGCCATTGTAATGTCTCAGAATTCCCCCTAGAGGGATTCTGGTTACTTGGTAGTCTTTCTCCAACAATCCAATCCCTTGTTATTTATTTCTTCTTTGTTTCCAACAACTTTAATTCAATTGTAACACATTTAGTCCAGAGAGATATTAAGTAACAAATTTTCTAGCTTTAACTGCCCGTTTGACAGCTCTTTTGACAGCTGTCAAACTCCTTATTCCTCTTCAACAGGCTCAGACACAGGACTCTCCCGGGTCCGGGGGGGGGGGGGGTTACACAAAAAACTTCTAAAATTCCGCTCTCACTCTCCAGCACAAAACTTCTTCTATCAAATCATGGAAGTTAATATCTTTTATCTCACTCCGAGAAAAGTGGTCTCTCCACCTTAGTTATCCGATTCTTGCTTTAGATCATTTGTAGGTAGGGGGGGTGCGGACTTCCCTTTAGCACATCCCCCGGTCATACCGAATTCAAAGATAAGAATTTTAAAGTCCAAATTCCATTCTACTCACGGGTTGTTTCTTTTCGGGTCCGAATTCAAGGAAAAAAGTCAGCGCTCTCCGGCCATGGCTCGCGGCTTCGCTCCACTGAAGTAGCGGTCTACTCACAGCACCACTCCACTCTCCGTACCCTCTCCGAAGCCTTTAAAAAGGCTCTTCGTGGGTCGGGGGGCGCTTAAGGTGCCCGCCGAGTCACCAAGTCCGCAGGCTTCAGCGCCTGCGGCTTCTGAGGGTCTCCGCGTCGCGGCAAGACCCGTCTCCAGCAGAGCCGATTCCGTCCGGAGCTCGGAGGGAATCCGCCATTAGCCGATCGCGCTAACCCGGAAGTCCGATCTAACATTCTTTTGAAGCCTCCCAAGTTGGGGGCCACCACTTTTTCTTGTGGGAGTGAGTTCCGCAGTTTTAATTATGTGCTGTGTGAAGAAGCAGTTTCTTTGGCCTGTCCTGAACTTCTCAAAGTTCAGGATGGCCCCATTAAGTTCTGATGTCAAGTGAGGGATAGAAGAAGTTTCCCCCACCCACTTTCTCCTGCACATGATCTAAAAAGCCCCAGGCATGGTAACCTTTTTCACACAATAGAGTTTGCACAATAGAGTTTGCCACAGTCCTCTGATCATGGGAACTCCTTCCTGCAGGAGGCACTAATGGCCACCAACCTAGATGGCTTTAAAAGAGGCTTGGACAAATTCATTGGACAACAGGAAGGTTGTTAATGGCTACCAGCTTCAATGGCTAAGCTCTTTCTCCATGGTCAGAAGCAATAATGCTTCTGTTTGCCAGTCTCTGGAAGCCGCAGGGGGGGAGAGCACTGTTGCTTGTGGACTTCCTTCTGGGGCACCTGTTTGGCCACTGTGAGGACAGGATGCTGGACCAGATGGGTCATGGGCCTGATCCAGTAGGCTCTCCTCACATGCATATGTTTTCCGTCCCAGGTGACAATAAAGACGTCGAGGACAGCAGCGTGATCCATTACGACGACGCGGCCATCTCAAAGCTCCTGGACCGCAACCAAGATGCCACTGACGACACGGAGCTGCAGAACATGAACGAGTATCTCAGCTCTTTTAAAGTGGCCCAGTATGTTGTGAGAGAAGAGGATGGTGTGGTAATGCGTTCAGAGTCATGGTTTACCTTCCTTTTCAATAAGTTTGCTTATTTCAGGGTGTTGCTTTAAAAACACACACACACACAAAGCAAAGTTGTGCATGGCACACTAAAATCTACATGCAGATACACACACACCCCTTTCTAAAATGGTACAAATAAAACATATAAACAAATCTTACTGAAAACCTAAGGACTGTAATACCCATCTGCCATTGGAATCTGTTCATCAGGGCACCGAAGAACACTCCATCGGGCAGAGATTGGTGGTGGTTTGTGATTCCGCCATCTTGAAAATCTTCAAAGCCCAAGCCAAACCCATGTTTCTAGCCCTTAAGTATTTACTCATTTGTTTATTTCACTGTGTTCATGAATTGCTTTCCGTAAAATACCTCTGAGCGATTTAGCAGTAAAGTCACATCTGGGCAGCAAAGGTTGCCTCATAACTTAAGTGTTGGAGCAGCTAGTTCATTTATTGTCCACCCTTCGCCGTCAGGTCCTACTTACAGCATGAAAACACAATGTGAAAAACAATTAAGAACAACTTGCAGCCATGAAAAGAAGGTGGGTCCTAAAAACAAACGCCTCAAGTGTCAAAAGCCAGGGTAAAGAGGTGCAACTTCAGCATTGGCTGGAAGCTGTGCAATGAAGGTGCCAGACACACCTCTGTGGGGAGGCATTTCCACAGCTCAGGGGCCACCATGGAGGAGTCCCTCTTGTGGTCCACCCCCTCCTGAAGAGGAGCTAACAAGAGGCCCCCTCTGCCAATCACAGCACCAGTGAGGGTGTGTAGGGAAGGAGATGGTCTTTCAGGTATTTGGGTCTTGAGTTATTTAGGGCTTTAAACATCAATCTGAGCACCTTGAATTGGGCTGGGAAATGAACCGGCAACCAGTTTGGCTGTTTTAAAGCAGGTTATATGTGATCTAAATGGAACCCCGGCCAGTAGTAATCTGGCTGCTGCATTTTGGAGCACCTGAAGTTCCCAAGTAGTCTTCAAGGGCAGCCCCACGTAGAGTGCATTGCAGTAATCCAGTTTGGAAGCTTCTTTCTTTCTTTCTTTGACTGCAGCCCTGCCAACATGCCCCATGCGAGTGTCTCCTTTCGGGAATGGTTACCGCCATCCCTCAAAGCTGTGGTTTGAGAGTTGTCCCCTTTCCCCCTCTTTCGCTTGCAGGAGGAGGTTGAGCGCGAGATCATCAAGCAGGAGGAGAACGTGGACCCCGACTACTGGGAGAAGCTCCTGAGGCACCACTACGAACAGCAGCAGGAGGATCTGGCCCGTAACCTCGGGAAAGGGAAGAGAGTCCGGAAGCAGGTCAACTACAACGACGCCTCGCAGGAGGACCAAGGTGAGGCCTTTGTGGTCCAGGGGTGGCAAACCTGCAGACCTCTGGCTGCTGTTGGACTCCATCTCCCATCAGCCCATGGCCAGTGGCTAGAAATGGATGATGGCAATTGTAGTCCAGGAACTTCTCTCAAACATATGCTCTCAAACAATGGCAATTGTTGTCCAGGAACTTCTCTCAAACATATGCACTCATCCTATCCAGTAACTTGAAAACTAGTTATTCCCGGACAATCTTTCCCGGGGTGTCCCCACGTTACACTGTACATGGGTGCAAGATACCTGTAAATGGGTCCAGCTACTCGTGAGAAAGAGCCTACACATGTTTAAACTTGACATGTGCAGCTGCCCCCTGAAGGAAGATGTATTTTGCTCACACAGTGACTCTCTGTGCATTCTCTCCACGGGGTTCTGATCCTGACCGGTTTTCTTCTGTGTGGTTTAGCTGTGATTCCTTCATGGCAAGGATTGGACTAGATATCTCTTTGGTTCCCTTCCAACTCTACGATTCTCTGATTCTAAGTGAGCATTCAGGGGGGAAAGGATGGGAGAAGCTTTCACCTGTCCTTTTGAGAGTTTCCTTGCTGCTCACATTTTTAATGTAAGGGTGACCAACCTGGTGCCCTCCAGATATTCTGACTACAACAACTCCCCTCAGCCGCAGTTGGCATGGCCAGTATCCAGGGAGGATGCAAGTTTTGAAGTCCAAAGCATTTGGAGGTCACCGTGTTGACTACCCCAATTTAATAAGTTCCAGATATTTTTTAATGCTGCCAATCAACCCCAATGTTCTCTGTGCTGGGTACATTTTGAAAAGGGGGGGGGGGGAACTGCATAGGGTACAACTTAGATGTAAAATCAGAACTAAATTTAAAAGAGAATCAGAATAAAAGCAAAGTTGAAATCAGCAGACAATGATGCTTTTGATCTACAAAGAGGGGTGCCTAACCTGTGAGATCCCTCTAGCTGAAGCCCAATGGCGAATCCTAACACAGTACAATTGCATCTTGCACAAGGCTTACATTCTGGGATGTCATGTATACCCAAACTGGATCCTTGGAAAAGCCCCTGAGTAACCATCGACTTCCCAGGTGCACCAAAAACACATATTAAATGTTAAACGTACATATGGAACGTTTGCAACCATCAGTCAAGAGAATTAGCTGACCCCTATTTATGGGTGCATTTATTTATTTGCAAAAATGCTTTCATGTAATGAAAATCTTTAAAGATATTTCTGTGAAAACAATAAAACACACAACAGTATTCAACAACTTTTCCTAAAAGCAAGTGTAAAAATCAAAGAAGAAAATGCAGCTGCAAGCCACAAATAAAGCTGGTGTGTGCAGAGAACAAATCAAATCAAGAACAAAAAGTCCAGGAAAGTAGAAATCCATGGGTAAACATGTATGTCTTTCGTCTGCCTAACAAATTACTTGAGAGGGGTGGGCATTCCCGAGGGTGTTTGCTGCCCCCTAGAATGGCCCACTGCCACATTACCACCAAGTGACAATCTGCTGATCATTGCAGTGAGCAGCAGGGTCTTCTTGGAAGTTCAGCTTGGACTGTGTTTGGGGAGGTGACCTGCTAGGTATCCCCCCCCCCCGCAAAAAATTGTTTAGGTACCTTTTAAATGTCAACAACCGAATCTTGACCTTGGCGGGCTTAACCTTTGCCTCTTGTGTTGTTGTTGTTTAAATATCCGTTGTGAGGAGATGATTATTATGATGCTTCAAACGTTCACGAATGTGAGTTCGCACTTGCGGCCCAAAGTGGCAGAGTCCTCGCAGCCCCTTGAGGACTCTGCCACTTCAGCCTGCTGCTGCGCCCAGCCTCGAGCCTCCTAGCATCGGACCCCTTGCTTCTCCCTCTTGAGACCCCTCCCTCTCCTCTGCCGGCAGAGTGGCAGGACGAGCTATCCGACAATCAGTCTGAGTACTCCATCGGCTCTGAAGATGAGGACGAAGACTTTGAGGAGCGGCCCGAAGGTCAGAGTGAGTCAGACCTTTGTTACTTCGACGGCACCCCATCCCTTTCCTCATCTGTGCTGACATAAGCCAGGCATGTTCCAGCAACTGCTCTTGGGCCCTTAGAGGCTGATCCTGGCAGAAGTGGGAGCAAAGTGGATGGACAGCAGGCATTTGCTCAGGCATCCTCAGAGTCTGCTGTGGGTGTTGGAGCAAGGCAGAATGGGGTGCAAAGGAAAAGGGGGTCCTAATTCCTTTGCTCAGTTACCCCTGGTTGATCCTGCAGACCTGGAACTCATCTTTAAAGTCCAGCCTGCAATCTTCCTTGTCATGTCTCTCCCCCTGCCCCCCAAATCTTTGCTCAGACCAGTGGCTCCCAAACTTGTCCTCCACCCCCTTTGTTGCATAAACCCATTCCCATTGCCCCCTATAAAAAGCATGATTCCAAAGAGCAGTTTGCACGACCCAGCATGGAAGAGAAGAACATGGTAAAATTCAAAACAATCACAATTCATTGCACGTCTATTCAAAATCCAATTAAAAGTATTCAGTTGAATTGGACAAGATTTATGCTTGCTGTTGTCTCTGGTAATTTCTCTCACTTACAGCATGGATGCTGGGTGGATGTTCTGTATTATTTCATTAATGCTATTGCTACAAAATTGCTGAACTTGACCTAGCGACACCATTCTGATAGTCACTTGCACCTCCAGCACCTCCCTGTCACCCCCTTGCCTCTTAGTGTCCCCCCCAGGGAATCCCCCCACCTGCAGGAGGTACCACCCACTTTGGGAACCACTGGTTTAGACCACCCCTCCCTAAGCTGATGCCCTCCAGATGTTTTGGACTACAACTTTCATCATCCCCAGCCATCACAGCCTTTTTGGACCACAGCTCCCATCAGCCTCAGCCAGCAAGGTCATTTCAGACTACAACTCCCATCAGTCCCAGAAGGAGCAGCTGTTCTGCCTGGGGCTGATGGGATTTGTGGTCCAAAAGATCTGGAGGCACCAGCATTGGGGAAAGGCTGACCTGGTCCGACCCCATGGAAAGGAGGAGAAAGGTCCTTCCATTTTGGCAGTTCTGTACAAGAAAGGCTTTGCTGACGTTGTCTCTCCTAGATCATTATTGAAGGATCTCTGCCTATCTTGCACACACTTTCTCTGTTTAAAGTCCCTTTCTCTCCCATCTTCATAAAGAAAACACCATCCTAAAAAACAAAGAAAGTGAGCTTCATTCTTGGCTGAGTGGGAATTTCAACCCTGGCCTCTCCCAGATTTTAGTTGTCATTTAACCCCCACAACAACCCTGTGAGGTAGTTCAACCCAAGATCACCCGACGAGCTTCATTGTGGCTCTCCCAGGTCCAATCCAACACCCTACCCAATAAAACATCACCGTAGCCTCTCAGCCCTCCCGGCTCACAGCTGAAGATGCTCTGAGAGCCAGCGAAAATAAGCCTAACCCGGAAGCCCTGCCGAGTCCTTGCAGCGATGCTTTCGGAATGCAGGGATGCTCTGGTGTGGTGTGTGCAGAATTCAAGTCTTCATTTTTGGTCCTCGGTGGATCCCAGTCCACGTCGCTTAGCTTAGCGTAGAACCATGCATTATTATATTTTTAAGCACCCTAGGATGTCTAGAGCACCGCCTCCCTCCACAGGGCATTTTCGAGGCTGCAGCTTCCTCCTAGGATCTCAGCTTATTGACACAGGATCTCTCTGACGCTCTCTAGGTGGCCGGCGGCAGTCCCGAAGGCAGCTGAAGAGTGACAGGGACAAGCCCCTCCCACCGTTATTGGCGAGAGTCGGTGGGAACATTGAGGTACGTCTTGGAAAACGCTGTTCATGGCGATGGCCCGGTGGACAGAGCTGTTGGCTAGTGGATTGGACTCTCTAGAGAGGTGATGGACCCTCCTTCATTGGAGATTTCCAGACTTTAGATGTCCATCTGCCAGGGATTCTGTAGCTGTGATTTCTGCATTTCGGGTGTGTGCTAGATGACCCCTGGGGTTCCTTTTCGGGTCCTACAATCCCATGCTGCTTTGCCTCTTTGTCCTAGGCATCTGAGAATGCCATCTTTCCCCATATCCTCCTTCTTCTCCACCCTCCCCTGCCTCTCTTTGCAGGTTTTGGGCTTCAACGCCCGCCAGCGGAAAGCATTCTTGAACGCCATCATGCGCTGGGGGATGCCCCCTCAGGACGCCTTCAACTCCCACTGGCTGGTGCGGGATCTCCGGGGGAAAAGCGAGAAGGAGTTCAGGTACTGGGTGTCAGGGAATGGCCTGAAGACAAGGACTAGGGAGTGCATTCTATGGCAGACCAGCCTCTCTCTGATGGAGAGCTGGAGGGGGAAGAATCACACACAGAGAGAGGCAGAAGCTGAACAGCTTAGTGGGGAGTTACCCAGTTATGAGATAATGACGACAGAACCAGAAGGGAGGGGGCAGCTAGTTGTCACTTGAGAGCATGGAGGATCCCCCTCCCCTCGGACTCAGAGGTCTGAATGTATCAGAGAGCAAAGGAGCCAGAGGGAGGGAGGAACTTCCCATTGGCTCCCAAAATGCTGCAGAAGCCGGAAGGATGATTAGACTAGGCAACTGCCCTCCTTGCAGAGGGCTGTATTTGTGCTTGCAACACAACACTGTAATAAAAGGACTATCAATCTATCAACTGCTTGTTAATTCTTATCTGTGAAGTTGCCAAAGGGAGGGGAGGATTCTCCACGGCTGGCACTGGGGGTGCCCCGCGACCCTTCTCTCTTCCTGCCCTCGGGACCTGTTTTGGAGTAGTCACCGGGAGCTGCAGCAGAGAATGGATGGACTTCCGTGGAGTGGATTTCCCAAGTGCTTTGCTTGATTTCAGCCTTTTCTAGACCAAAGCAGACTTGCGGGATCTGCTTTGTGCTTTTGCTAGGATTCTAGGATCCACCACCTGGAACTCTGGGTAGAAGACACGGGGTGTTGGTTTAATTACTGGATCTAAGCTGAGTCTTTCCACACAGAGATCTATCCCTGCTTAGCTCAAGCTGTCTAATTTAAGGGTTGGGACATTTGCATCTATTTTGACTTAAGACAATGGAAGCCATTTGCCCTGGCGTCTCCCTCCCTCCTGTTTGTTTCCTCCTCAGGGCCTATGTCTCCCTGTTCATGAGGCACTTGTGCGAACCTGGAGCAGACGGGGCAGAGACCTTCGCTGATGGAGTCCCCCGCGAGGGATTGTCCCGGCAGCATGTGCTGACTCGAATTGGCGTGATGTCACTAGTAAGGAAGAAGGTAGGTCAACTCTTCCCTTGAATTATTTCCTGCTAGGCTTGCTCCTGAGAGCTCAGTGAGTGGATGGAAAAGTCATTGTAAGACTGTATATATGGCTTTAGTTGGGTCCGAGAGCCAGTGTGGTGTTGTGGTTAAGAGCGGTAGACTCGTAATCTGGTGAACCGGGTTCGCGTCTCCGCTCCTCCACATGCAGCTGCTGGGTGACCTTGGGCCAGTCACACTTCTTTGAAGTCTCTCAGCCCCACTCACCTCACAGAGTGTTTGTTGTGGGGGAGGAAGGGAAAGGAGAATGTTAGCCGCTTTGAGACTCCTTCGGGTAGTGATAAAGCGGGATATCAAATCCAAACTCCTTCTTCTTCTTCCGAGTTGACTTCTACATGTTACCCAATGTTGCTTTCATAGCTGATGGGAACTGTGGCCCCAAATGTCAGGAGGGCATTAGGTTGCAGAAAGTGAGATTAATTTAACTGATGTAGCACTGCAGGAATGGTTTTTACCCTCTGTTTAATCAGCAAGGTGTTTTGCTCTTTCCTGTTTTAGGGTTTTTTTTTTGGGGGGGGGAGTTAGTGTGAAATGACCTTCATTTTTGTGTTTGAGTTCTGAGTCATCATTGCTCTGATGATGACATCATTAACCTGAATATCATTGTTTGAATGATGATGTCATTAACCTGAATATCATTGCCTGTATGATGACATCATTAACCTGAATATCATTGCCTGTATGATGACATCATTAACCTGAATATCATTGCCTGTATGATGACATCATCAACCTAAATTAGGGCTGCCATATGTCTGGGATATGTCAACAACTTTGCAAAAAGTTCAACAACTTCTATGTGCAGATTTTCACGTTTTGAAATATGGCAGCCCTAACATAATATCATTGTCTGGGTGATGACGTCATTAACCTGAATATAATTTCATTTTATTCATAACCTTTCGTTTCTGAATCTGCTTCTTGTACTCTGTAAGAAACGGTGTTCTTTAAACTTTAAGAAATAAATGGATTGTGTGTGTGGGTCTAATCCCATGTTCCTTGCACCTTCCCTCCCCCCACCCTGCCCATTCCTTGATCCAGGTTCAAGAGTTCGAACCTGTCAACGGGAAATACAGCACTCCTGACCTCATCCCAGAAGGCCTGGAGAGCAAAAAGGGAGGGGAGGTTCTCTCTTCGGACCCAAACACGCCTGTCCCAGCCAGCCCAGCTCATGGGCAGGTGGGGCCCACGTTGCAACCAGGTATGGCTGAAACATCCCCACCTGGAACCCTGGAAAGCCACTGCCAACCCATGTGTAGAAAAGGCTGGGCTAGACTCAACATCAGGCAGCTGCTGGATTGATATACAGTGGTACCTTGGGTTACATACGCTTCAGGTTACAGACTCCACTAACCCAGAAATAGTACCTTGGGTTAAGAACTTTGCTGCAGGATGAGAACAGAAATCGTGCTCCGGCAGTGCGGCAGCAGCAGGAGTCCCCATTAGCTAAAGTGGTGCTTCTGGTTAAGAACAGTTTCAGGTTAAGAATGGACCTCCGGAACGAATTAAGTACTTAACCCGAGGTACCACTGTAATGCAAATTGGGGGGTGGGGAAACTTTGATCCTCCAGATGCTACGGGACTACAATTAGGGTTGTAAAAACCAGTACAACCCGAATGTTGTTGAACTTTTCTTTCAGGTTTTTTTTTTTAGACAAACCTCAAAGTTGTTGAGTGATTTTTCAATTGACTTGCCTAAGATCCAGGATGTCAATTTCACCTTTGGAATCCTGGTAATGTCCGGGAAAATCCAGGCATATGGCAGCCCTGCTACAATGCCTATCACCCTTGGCCATTGGCTGTGCTTGCAGGGGCTGATGGGAGATGAAGTCCAGCACAACCTGGAGGGCCACTCCTGATACAACGATGGCTAATAGCTGTAGAAACAGAACCGCCAGCCTTAATAATTTCCATGCAAAAGCCCAGAAAGCGGATTTGTGTGCAGGATTTTGCCAAGCTGCTGGCATTTCATTTGCGGGCTTCGTCTCTTGTTTCAGACAAAGCGGACCCACAGCCAGGGATCCCCCAGGAAAAAGATCCACCGGAGCAGAGGGCAAAAAAGCCACGGGAGAGCCAGGTAAGAGGACATCCCTTGAGTTAGGAGGGGCATCCTTGGGGCACAGTGTTGCAAGTGGGACATTGAGATGTTGCAGATGGGTTGTTGGCAGCAGGTTAGTTAAAATAATAATAATATTGAATTTCACCCAGAAAGGGATAACCCAGAATAAACTGGGAAAATATATGGGTTGGCATCAAGAAAATACTACTAATAATAACAAAGAAGAAAAAAGAAGGGTAGAAAGAGCAGTGGGGCTGATCCACTAGGGCGAATAGGGCACTGACCCACAGACCGCAGTCTACCTTCCAACAGCCCCCATCAGGATCAGACAAATTCATAATGGAAAGAGCCTGGGGTGATGGAAACTCTGCTTTATGTTCAGGTGCCGGTGAACAGAGAGAAAACGGAGAAGGACGAGAAGGAGGAAGTTGTGGTGGGACAAGCAAAACCAGTCGAAGAGAGCATCGAAGAGGAAGAGAGGGCGGAGCCTGTCCCCGAGCAGCCAGCAAAAGGTGTGGGGCTGATGAGATGCCGTGGGGAGGTGACAGTGCAAGAGCAATGGCTTTTGGGGGTTGACCGGTACCTCAGAACGACCCATCAAACCGGACCCTGCTCTAGTTCGCTTGATGTCATTTTGCACCTGGAGTAGTGAGCCAGTGTGAGGAACGTGGGTTCAAAGCAAATCTTTATTGTCAATGACCAGCACTAAGAAAGAAAGCACGTAGAATTATATAAGTGTGCATAATAGGGTGCAATAAAAAGTAGTGTAAATAAAGCTGCCTCGCACCATAGTGTGCACATGCATAGGATGAGGGGCTATATTATATGACCACACAGCACATAGCTAACCTATGGAACTCACTTCCACTGGAGGCAGTGATGGCCAACAACTTGCATGGTTTTAAAAGCAGAAGATGAGGCTATTATTATATTTGGAACGAGGCCCCAAAGAGGGCCATATTATCCCCACTGCCCCAGGTGCCAATTTGCAAAGCTGCCTGATGGAACACTGTGTTCATCTCCTTGTTGGCTGATGTGAGCCTTTGCTTCCTTCCCTTCCTCCCTGCCTACCCCCCCACCCTGCCCAGCTCCTGCAGATGAGGCCTCCCAGGAGAATGAAAAGCCAGCCGCAAAGTCAGAATCAAATGCCAGCCCCTGTAAAGGAAGCAGTAAAGAATCCAAGTCAGGTAAGAAGCCCCCTCTTTTACCCAGCTCAGCATACATAGTCATAAGCAAATATAACTTTTCTTTTGTTTCTCATATCAAGCGTCAAAAGGGCTGTCCCTTTGGCTGCTACTGCAGATCCTGCTCGGGCTTCTCCCCACCCGCTTCTTTAGGGCCAACAACTTGCTCAAGTTCCTCCAAAATCAATAATAATAATAATAATAATAATAATAATAATAATAATAATATATTTATACCCCGCCCATCTGGCTGGGCTTCCCCAGCCACTCTGGGCGGCTTCCAACAAAATATTAAAATACAGTAATGCATCAAACATTAAAAGCTTCCCTAAACAGGGCTGCCTTCAGATGTCTTCTAAAAGTCTGGTAGTTGTTCTCTTTGACATCTGGTGGGAGGGCGTTCGACAGGGCGGGCGCCACTACCGAGAAGCCTGGTTCCCTGTAACTTGGCTTCTCACAGGTGAGGGAAGCGCCAGAAGGCTCTCGGCGCTGGACCTCAGTGTCCGGGTAGAACGATGGGGGTGGAGACGCTCCTTCAGATATACTGGACCGAGAAATCCTTGATTTCTCAGGATTGATTTGCTTTCTGTCCTGCGCAAGTGTTCTGAAGGGTTTCTTAAATATCCCACCATTACAACTGCAACGTGGGCAGGCAGAGGTCTCAGTGGCACTTGGGGCCCCTAGATGAGGTTTGCCAGGATAAAAGTCATATTACCAGCTGAAGAAGGCGTTTACTCCGAAACAGGGCCCTGTCCTGGTCACCACTACTGAGTCGTACATCTGATTCATACTCCGGATACTCCTTTTTGGCTCTTTATTCTTTATTCTGAGTTTATATAATATGGACTCTTTTTGACTACCATTGAGACTTGTATAAAACTATTGTTGTGTACTGGTATTTTATGTACCTTTATACTATATTATTGCATACTAATATCTAAATTTATTATTATCTTAAAACCATTGTACTCACATGTTGTGTTTAAATTTACTATTAGCTTTAAACTGTCATTCTTTGCAGAATATACACGTTTTTTTCTTTTCAACCCTTGAGTAGTAATTAATCCTTACATTGAAACTTGTGGCCAGAGTTCTTGGTTTATCCTTTTCAGGATAAAAGTCAGGGCATCTTCTTCCAGCTGGGCATGGCTTGAATGCCAAGCTCACTCTGGAGCATAGGAGCCAACTTCTAGGGGCCGTGGGGGCTTCAGTCCCCACTATAAAATATTTTAGGGAGACGGGTTCCCACAAAGTTGTTGGGCCTACCCATTCAAATGTTGTGTGTGCACTGCGTCGTGTGATCGATTATGCAATGCAGGACTCACAATGTTTTATTCAACTTGGCACCCCTGCTCTGGAAAACCTGCTCCATCACACACTTGAAGGCTGCCAGCTTGGATGGCTTTTGAAGAGGGCTGGTCAAATTCATTGGGGAGAATAAGGCAATCAATGGGAACCAGCCATCATGGCTATGCTCTGCCTCCACTGTCTGTTTCTGAATCCCAGTTGCTGGAAACCACAGTGTGTGTGTGGGTGGGTGGGGGCTCTTGTGCTCAGCTGCTGCTTGTGGTTTCCATTCATGGGCATCTGGTTGGCTACTGTTCTCTGGCCCCAGCAATTAATGAGTCACTTTTGATTAGCAATGAGCGATTACCCTGCATAGAGCCAGTGTTAGGACAGGCAGACTTGATGGATTCCATCCACTTTACTCGGGATATTATTAATTTAGCAGCAACTAGCCATCATTATATTGAACCCCTGCAAGACTCTGGTTTCCCTAAGGATTTCATTTGGTCTGCATTGTTAAGCCACCCCCCTCCAATTCACCCTCTTTTAATGCTTTTCTTTATTAAAAATAAAACATACATAATGACAAGTGTGCAGAGTAAGACACAAAGAAGAAGAAGAAGAAGAGGAGGAGGAGTACCCACGCAGAAAACAAAACAGAACAAAAAAAAAGTTACCGTAATTAACCCCACCTTAACCTAATTCGGCATTTATAAAAATGAATCCCCCATGGTTGTCCACTGTGAGAATGGGATGCTGGACAGAATGGGCCATTGGCATGACCCATCAGGCCCTTAGTATGTACTTATGTTTGTGTTCTTGTGATGGGGTGCCCCTGTGTTTTGCTAAGCAGATGATGCCAAGGCAGAAGAAAAGGAGCTGTCAGAGGCTCAGCAGAATGGAGAAAAGGAGGAGGAGGAGGATGGGAAGAAGGACGACAAGAGTGGGATCCGATTCATGTTCAACATCGCTGACGGGGGCTTCACAGGTACACGCGAGCAGGCCCCAACCTCCTGGAAAGCCAGCCTCCCCCTGTGAGACCCTGGTGACTCAAGCTCTGTTCCTTCATTGGAGGCATGCTTCATTGTTACCATCTCAGCCCCATATTTTTGGTTGGAAGTTGGGAAGCTCAGAGCAGTGACTTATACAGAGACACAGTGAGCAGCACTCTGCTCAGAAGGAGGGGCAATTCTGATCCAGTCGCATATGATGCATTACCTGCCCCAAGCAGAGGCTGAGAGGAAGGATGCAAAGCTAGGGCAGCAAGCTGGGCAGAGACACAGCAGGCAACCTCCTCTGATGGCAGATAATTCTGCCATGCCCTGCACAGGGAGTGACTGATGCAGAGACATGGCAGAATTGCTTGCCCTCTAACTGGGAGGAGGAGGAAAGGACAGAGCAGTGAGTTATGCAGAGATGCGACAGGCAACGTTCCTCTAAGTGTACATAATTCTGCTATGCATTGGGAATTGTGCATTTCAAACTACAGATTTTTACTGTTTGGGGTTTGTTCTCTTAGATTGCATGCCCTGTGGGGTAGAATTTCTTACTTCAATTGCGTACAGAGCCGTGTACATTGATGGCGCTATATAAATAACTGTTCAATATTAATATCAATAATATTGGTAATAATAATAGTAATGATGAATTCACACAGAGCCATAACACAGGATCAGAGGTAAGGCAGAGCCCTGGCAACCCACATAGAAATGTAGGGAAGGGACCCTTAAGGCCCATCTAGCCCGACCCCCATGCAATGCAGGAACCGCAAGAATTTCTTGGCTTGGTTTCCTGGACTCCTGGGCAGCCTGCTGTCACTGGGCTCCCTGTGGAGCTAATAACAGCGGCCTCCCTTCGAGAGTTTGTGCAAGGCTTCCTACCCACAAGGGTTGTGGAAATGCCAAGCATTATTAAACCTCCTCTTGACATTCCAGTCCGCAGCTGGTGTGGCGCCTGAAATGCAGCATCTCTCCGCTCTTGCTTTACAGAACTGCACACGCTGTGGCAGAACGAGGAGAGGGCGGCTGTCTCCTCGGGGAAGATTTACGACATCTGGCACCGGAGGCACGATTACTGGCTCCTGGCAGGAATTGTCACGTATCCTTGGCGTGGTTATGGGAAGTCAGGGCTGGATGCGGCAGTGGTTTCCTTCAGCTGCCTCCTGCTGAGTTAGACCATTGCTCCATATTGCTCAGTATTGCCTAAACTGACTGGTAGCAGGGTTTTAGGCAGAGGTCGCTCCTAGCGCAACCTGGAGGCGCTGTCGGGAATCAAACCTGGAACCTTCTGCATGCGAGGCAGATGCTCTACCCCACTGAGCTATGGCCCTTCCCTGTTCCTGGACCCATGTTCATTTTGCACATATAAGTTGGTGCCACCATGTTTCTGCATTAATGTGGGCTTATTATTATGTTTTGTTTTAAAAATGCCCGCAGATTCGTATTCAGCTCCCTATTTTATCTTGTGTGCGCATTTCCAAAGGTACTTAATCCTGAAATGTGCATTTTGGTATGTTTCTTGAGCTGAGGACTCAAAACAGGGAGAAATGTGAAATCCAAAGGGCAGTTCACATGCTTATTCGGCCAAGCTGCATACACAGAGATATAATAACCTAGGCAGCTGCCCAATCTGAGTCAGACCATTGGTCCATCTAGCTCAATGTTGTCTACTCTGATGGGAAGGGTCCTACGCAGCCCTACCAGGAGATGGCACTGGGGACTGAGCCAGATGGGCAGCATACAAATCCTTATTATTACTGGATTTTGTGATGAAAACAAATGCATACAAAAAAGGCACATCACAGGGGCAAGTTCATGCAGAACCACAGTTTTTTCTCAGCAGATCTGGCCCTCATAATACCCATTCCATATTTGTAAGAAATCGATTGTTTAGTGTGGTGGCACCTACACTTTGGAACCCCCTGCCTATTGAGATCAGGCAGACACCTTCACTCTATTCTTCTCAGTGACTGCTAAAATCATTTTTGTTTTAGGCAAGTCTGCCTTGAAATTTAGAAAGGTGATGCAAGTTTTAATCTGTTTTCATTAGTCTATTGTTATTGTAACTTTTTTTAAAAAATGAAATTATTGTTGTTAAATTTTTTTAGTGGTCATTTTATTGCTTTATCTTTTTGGTAAACTGCCCTAACGTGGGTTTTTTTGGTTTTTTTACAATCAATTTATTTGAAATAAATGAAATATCAGTGAACATGCAAAAACGCACTCCGTTAGGAGGAATGTGCATGAAGATTCTCTGGGATAATCTTCTATGAAAATTGCCCAAGCTGAAGTGGAAATAGGGCAAACCAAATTTAAGACTGGGAAAAGTAGAAACTGAGAGCTCCCTTCTACATCTTTCTTTTCGTTGGCTGTTCCCAGGCTCTGAACTCTTCCTAAAAAGCCTCACTGGCTCCCACCGTGCTGTCCTTCTGTTAACAGGTGAAGACTTTCTTTTTCTAATAGGCTTTTGGGAACTGACTACTTTTAAGGAAACGGATGGTACTGTGATGTTTTTATTGTTATTATCTATAGTTGTATATTCTATTAATGTTTGATTGTTTTTTAAATTAACCCCCCCCCCCCCGTTTCTATTTTATCTGTAAGCCACCTTGAGTCTCTGTCAGGGAAAAGGTAGGAATGAATGAATGAAAGGAGATTTTTCAGATGCCAGATGGTTCTGTTGTTCCCTTAACGCCTCTCCTCTCTGCTGCCTAAGTCACGGCTACGCCCGCTGGCAAGACATCCAGAATGACCCGCATTATGTCATCCTGAACGAGCCCTTCAAGTCGGAGATCCACAAGGGTAACTACTTGGAGATGAAGAACAAGTTCCTGGCACGGCGGTTCAAGGTGGGTTTCCAGAAATACCCGTTCGAGAGGGACCACATTTGCAGAGGATAAAACCTATCACCAGGTCTCAGCAGCAGTAGCAAAGACGAGCTTCCATGGACAGAGGCAATGTACCTTTCAGGGTGGACCAGGGCCTTGCAGAGCCAGGCAGAGGCCCAGGCCAGGTAGATAATGTGCCCCCGCTTTTTTTACCCTGGGGATAACTGAAGTCTTATAAATAAGTAAGTATATAAATAATTTTCACAAAAGTTATGCTGACAAAAAATTTTATTTCAAGGCTTGAAGCGTATCTGCATATAAAGACAAAATGGAAAATATAGATATACAATAGTACTTTTAAAAAATACATAGGGAAAGGGATTATTTTAAGTATTTACATTTAAAAATGCTTCCCTAGCAATTGTGAATATGCTGACCGAGGTCCCCTTTGGAATAGGAGGCTCGGGCCAAGTGGCCCATATGGCCCCCCTTCTGTCTGGGCCTGGGGTGGACTGATGTAAATCAGGAGTGGGGAGCATTTGCAGCCCCTCAAATGTTACTGGAATCCCAACTCCCATCAGCCCTGGCCAGAATGACTCAATTGAGGATGCAACATAGCCTGAAGGGTCCCCAGATGTCCTCGCTCCTGATGCAAACAGAGACAATTTAAATGGGTGTTTTAAATCTCTGCAGCCTGCCTTGATGTGCATCCTCCTGTGTAATGGGATATTGAAAGGATAAGGCTATCAATGGCGACTAGGCATGATGTCTATTCTCTGCCTCCACAGTAGCAGCAATGCTTCTCAATGGCAGTTGCAGGAAACAAGAGTACTCTTTGGGCTCCTGCTTGTGGGTTTTCCATTAGGGAACCTGCTTGGCCACTGTGAGAACAGGATGCTGGACTAGATGGGCCACTGGCCTGATCCAGCGGGCTCTGCTTATGTTCTCCTGGTCCATGTTTCGCCCATTCTGCTGCTCCTCGGCTGCTGCTATCTGTGTATGAGGCCACCTCTGCATCTTGGAGGATTCTGCAAGGTTGATGGAACGTGCTCCCCGTATCCTCTTTGCAGTTGCTGGAGCAGGCGCTGGTGATTGAGGAGCAGCTCCGCCGGGCAGCGTACCTCAACATGACCCAGGACCCCAATCATCCGGCCATGGCCTTGAACGCCCGCTTGGCTGAAGTGGAGTGCCTTGCTGAGAGCCACCAGCACCTCTCCAAAGAGTCCCTTGCGGGGAACAAGCCCGCCAACGCCGTCCTTCATAAAGGTGGGTCTTTCCCGAAAAGGGACCACTTTCCCTGCTCCCTTAACTCCCTCCACCTCGTCTGCTTCTCCCATGCCAGTTGGGAGAGTGGTGGCTGTAGGCAGTGGCGTAGCGTGGGGGTTGCAGGGGGGCCGTCCGCACTGGGTGCAACATGGGGGGGGGGCGTGCTCGCACTCACAGTTCTCTGCCCCTACTAAAATCCACAGGTTAGGGGTTGCAAATTACTTGCCTTGCCCCGGGTGCTGACAACCCACGCTACGCCACTGGCTGTAGGAATAATGAGGACGACAGGAGGTTGAAGGCAGGTGAGCTATGCAGAAGCACGCTGGCAAGCATGCTCCAAGCAGGCTGCCGGCTAGTTCTGTAGTAAAAATGTAAAGGGACCCCTGACCATTAGGTCCAGTCGTGGCCGACTCTGGGGATGCAGCTCTCATCTCACTTTATTGGCCGAGGGAGCCGGTGTACAGCTTCTGGGTCATGTGGCCAGCATAACTAAGCCGCTTCTGGCAAACCAGAGCAGTGCACGGAAATGCCGTTTACCTTCCTGCCAGAGTGGTACCTATTTATCTACTTGCACTTGATGTGCTTTCAAACTGCTAGGTTGGCAGGAGCTGGGACCGAGCAACGGGAGCTCACCCTGTCGCGGGGATTCAAACCGCCGACCTTCTGATCGGCAAGCCCTAGGCTCTGTGGTTTAACCCACAGCATCACCCGCGTCCCGTAGAGTTCTGTAGTCCCGTAGTTCTGTAGAGGCTCCTTTTATTAGCAGAAGTCAACAATTGGAAACAGTAGTGAAACCACTCTGAACATGACGTAGTTCCAACTAAGCACATACACGTGTTAGCAGGTGTTTCCCTAAAATGTTTCCCTGATCCTTGATTACGTCTGCATCCCCAGTCATGCTGCAGCCAAGCGTTATGTCTAGTAACCAAATCTGTGAGAGGACAAATGGTCAGGGGAAAACCCTGTTTGCTAGCCAAGAAGGCAAAAGGTCAGGGAGCGTGGGCACAATGCTCCTTGGCACACTGTTGCATGCATGGTGCGAGGTTTGCCTCAGCACAGGCGGAGTGTCACCTCCACAGTGGCTAAGAGAGGAAAGAGCTTTTTCAGGTTCTAAGGGAACCTGAACTCACACTATCAGCTGTGCTGTGGGAGCACTGGCAAAATGAACTACTCGGATCAACAACAACAGCAGCAGCAGCAACAACAACAACTGGAATTTAAATGTCTGCAATCAGTAAATATAACTCTGTGCGTGTTGTGGGTGTGGGAAGGAGGGGAGAGTTTGCACAGTAAGAACACCCCCAAAGGGTATATGACTCATCTCTCTCTGCAGAGAGGGCAGCCAAGATGGAAACCAGGCCTCACGGGGATTGGGAGTTGGAGATGTTTAGCCCAGAAAAGGGGATATGAATCCATCTTCAAATATCAGAAGGGCTGTCCCACGGAAGATGGAGCAAGCTTGCTTCCTCCTGCCCCAGAGTGCAGGACCTGAACCAATGGACTCAAATTGCAAGAAAGGAGATTCCGATTAGACATTAGGAAGAACTTTCTGATGGCAAAAGCTGCTCGACGGTGGAATGCAGCTCCTCAGAAGGTGGTGGACTCCCCTTCATTGGAGATTTTTCAACAGAGGTTGGATGGCCGTTTTTCAGGGATTCTTGAGCTATGATTCCTGCATTGCAGGGGTTTGGACTAGATTGGGGGGTACCTTCCAACTTTACAATTCTGTGCCATCGACTTGCATTTCATAGCTTTTTGGGCATCCCATTGGTTACAATTCTCTCTCAGAATCTGATCCCATAATCAGCCCACCAGGCTCACTTTTCTGTCTATATCAGGAAAACAATAAATGATTTATTTCATTTTAATTTTTTATAAATGCTGTTGCATTAAAAAACACTAACAATTTTATCATGGGATAGGTTTTCATGGGCTGCACTGTGCTCTGTCAGATGCACCCACAGCTAATGGGTTTCCTATGATGGCACATACTAAAATAAAATATAAGAAATGGCAGCCTAAGTTACACAGAAGGAAAAATCTGCGGTGTTGCCAGATGGGTTGGGTACAGGTTTCTGGGGCTCACAGGTGCCCAACTGTCTTGCAGTCCTAAACCAGCTGGAAGAGCTGCTGAGCGACATGAAAGCCGATGTGACTCGGTTGCCCTCCATGCTTTCCCGCATCCCACCTGTGGCCGCTCGCCTCCAGATGTCCGAGAGAAGCATCCTGAGCCGGCTGACAAACCGGGGGAGCGACCCCAGCATCCAGCAGGTTAGAGGCAGCGTTAAAAGGCATTGGTGCATCAGCATATCCAGAATGAGCTCCTGTTTTCTCTGGAAAGCCCCCCACTAATGGGGGGTGGGCAGGGCTTTGGTTTTTTGTGTGGCCAGATGTTCTGTGTGCAGTGGTAAAGAAATGAGACAAACCATTTATCCGTTTGGGATGCAATTGCATTCCAGATGTCAAAGAGAACAACAACTACCAGACTTTTGGAAGACATCTGAAGGCAACCCTGTTTAGGGAAGCTTTTAATGTTTGATGCATTATTGTATTTTAATATTTTGTTGGAATTTTGGAATATTTTGAGTGGCTGGGGAATATTTGGAATATTTTGAGTGGCTGGGGAAGCCCAGCCAGATGGGCAGGGTATAAATAATAAATTATTATTCCAAACCATATATCTGTTGGGGATGCAATTGCAATTCAGCTGACCCTGTAGCAGTTCAAATTCAAGCCTATTTCTCATCTTCCCTTACTTGCAACTCCACCCCATTTGAAATTGAGATTATAAATTCCGTGGGGCAGAGGCTTGTTCTTTTGCTAAAGTTATTTTGTACACAGCATCAATCGCCAGCATTTTAAAAAAAATCATTGTAATATTGATGGTTTCTTTGTTTCTAAATGTTATCCACCCAGAGCCTTTGGGGATGGGGTTGGTTTGTGTTTTCAAATAAATGCTCTTCCCCATCTCCTCCCTCTCCAGGCCTCTTTTGGCTCCTCCCAGATCTACAGCAACAACTTTGGCCCAAACTTCCGTGGTCCAGGACCAGGTGGGATTGTCAACTACAGTCAGATGCCCCTGGGACCTTACGTGACGGGTGAGTTGAGGTTCCTTGCAGCTGCCCCCTCTCTTTTCTCTCTCTTTCTTCTCTTAAGAGTACAAATTTTAAAGTGGGGGCCATGAGTCAAAAAACAAAAGGGCATTGGGCAAGCCAGCTGTTTTCTCTCTTATCAATAGATATTTAGCCGTTTGCGAGAGTTTCCTCTGCAGTTCTCATTGCTACGAGAGGTAAGGCCACGCTTATTACTCTCTCATAAACCGTGTTCTGTCATTCTGTCTTTGGGCGAGGTGGGGGTGGCCGGCACTGCTGTGACCAGCTTAGTCTTCCTGCAGGTGGCCAACTTGCAACCTTTGGGGTTCGCGTTGTCACCTGACGGACAAAACCTTCATTGATTTGATCCCCTGAGCTTTACGCCGTAATTCTAAGGGTGCTTTCTATGGCGCAATCCCCGGTTAACACAGCAAGTCTTCGGAGTAAACATGCAAAAGGTTCTACAGCACAACAATCCATTAATTTTGCTTAGCCAGTTGAATTTGTAGGGAGTCAAAAGGCACCTGAAACAAAAGGCATTCCTCTGTTAAAAGGATTTTTTTTATAAAAAAAGAAGCATGTGCTCAACATGTACTTTTCCTGGTAAGTACAAAAATAAAATCACAATTCAATAAAAATAATAATTTTAAAAACATTTTGACCAATCAACTATAGCCATCTTTCACCAGCCAATACATTCTAACTCCCCCTCTACCTGATTAATCAGTGCAGCACTCTTTCTTGGTATTAATTAAAATTATGTTAAAATGAGGTGGGGTGGGAGAGCCAACCTTAGGGACCTTGATCAGCAACAGTACCTGGGTGGGCAGATGCAAAATAGGTCAGTGCTTCTCCTTTAAGAGTTGGGGTGGGGAGAGATTTCAGCAGGGAGAGCATGCAGGAATAGCGGACTAGGGGATAGCTGATGCACCTGCTGAAATTCTCTCTTCTTCGGAACTCTTAAGCACCCCCCTCTTTTCCCTCTTGCGGAACTGCCCGTCTCCCAAACTTGCTCCCTTCCATTATTTGCATGGATTGAAACTCTGAGGTCACTTGCCCAGATATCCTGAGTCTCAGACCTCACCTCTTCCAGCCCACTGGACCTGTCTCTCCCAAGAGCTCTCTGGATCCTGACACCTGCACTGCAAAATGGCCTTTACTGAGAGTTGCCCCCACCTTTTAATCACCACCCTATTTTAACAGCCCTTGCCCTTTAAAGCCTCAGTAGCTTTTAAAATGTTTTCTTTCTCTAGTCTTATTTCTTTCTATTAAGTTCATATCCCTTCTTTATTTCTCTGTTAAACTTCACCTCTTGCAATGAACCTGAGAAGGGGGCCTAACTATTTATTCCCCCCCCGCACTTGTCCTCACAAACAGCCCCGCAGGTAGGTTAAGCTCAGGTGGCTGAGTGATGATTTGAATCCAGGGCATCCCAAGTACTATTCTGACACTTTAACAACACTACATTCTGCTCTCTCTAAAATGAATAGATCACTAGAGGAGCTGGCTTTCTTCTGAGAATCTTCATAGAGAAATTTTGGGGGTGAAAAAATTAAATGGATTAGATTTGAATCCCGGGACTCAAAATGGTGGTTTACTTGGGGCTATTCATCTTAATCCTCATGACAACCTGGTAAGGTAGCTTTGGCCAAGAAAGAGAATCTGGACATCAGACTAATCAAAGAGCTTTTGCTTCTCCTCAGGAAGATGAAGTTATTTAACAAACAGTGGATCTCAAATGGGGAATTGTCAGCATCCTTAGCAAACCACAATTCCTGAGTTTATTTATTTGGGGAGCTGTGACATTTAAGTATGCTGTGTTGCTGGTGTATATTTGTTGTGAAAATACTCAAGAGCAAGGACCAATGAATCTGTCGATTTCAGATTATTTCAGTTTCTAAATTTTTCCAGTCTTAAAAGTCCTCATGCATTTTACCTAATACAGTATACACATTTTCTGCAGTATTTCTAAATATACACATTTTTGGCAAGCCATTTAACCTAATGCAATCCATTATTATTCAATATTTTCACTGTCCATTTATTCTTACTCTCTGCTCAATTCCTGATCCACAAGAGGACCTTTTCTCTTATTCCATGACTAGCACTCAGAAGTCTTTGGTGCTATAATTCAACCTTAAATTGTGATGCATTCTGTAGGTGTCCCCCCCCCAATGCTTTTTAAGAACTCAACAGATGTTGTTGGCCCTGGGTGCATGGCAGGGGGTTGGACTAGATGACCCTTGGGGTACCTTCCAACTCTTCAGTCCTAAAACTCTATGAATAATTACCCTTTTTCAAATTTTAAGGAAAGGAACTGGCAGATGGTCCATCCACCATTGGGCCCAGTTCTGTTGTTTATCACAAGAACCACTCTGTGACACCAGGAAACTGGCCAGAAAGAGGTTCTTCCTAAGGTGCTGCCTGGAATATAAGAGGAATGTCACCCTCAGCCCAGTTTGCTGCTGCTGAGAGTCTTCAGGATTGGGCAGAAACCCAGTTTCCCCACACGGCTTCCAATGGCCTGCCCACATGGCAGCTACTGCCTGCCTCTTAAGTGGACTCTCATTGATGACAGCACAGGTGTTGCTTCTATCTTTAGGTCCAGACTTCCAGTGAAGAGTTTGGGGAAGCAACCTTCCGGGTCCTCACTTGTTTCACAAGAATGTAAGAAGATCCCGCTGGATCAGGTCCATCTAGTCTAGCATCCTGTTCTCATAGTGACCAAGCAGATGCCCCAAAAGGAAACCAGCAAGCAGGATCTGATCACAAAAGCCCTCTTCCCTCATGTGGTTTCCAGTAACTAGCATTCAGAAGCATTGTTGCCTCACAACTATGGAGCCAGAACATAGCCATCAGTAGCCCTGTCCTCTCAATGTATCAACAGCTCATCTCCTTCACTTCAGATGCTCCTAGACCAGGCATCTCCTTAACAGGGTTTGAAATCTTGTGGTCCATAATGGCTTCCCAGCTTTTAAAAATGGCATTGGTCAGGCCACATGTTTAATACATAAATTGGCCCTGGCTCATGATGGAAGTACCTCATAGAATCATAGAGTTGGAAGGGACCCTGAGGATCGTCTCAGCCCAACCCCTTGCAGTACATCTGTCCCATGCAGGGATCAAACCTGTTATGAGGACCACACTCGAACCAACTGAGCCATCCAGGCTGAACTCAGTCCAAGGAACATAATCCCTCCATTTTTGTCCTTTCAGCAACACCCAATGGACCGCCCTTGAGCCACCTGGATATAAAGGTCCCCGAGCCCCTGAAAGATGGTGCAACTTAGACTGCAAGGGACAGCATTGCGATGTCATCTGCATCGAAGATTGAAGGCCAGTCTTGGTGGCTCTGGGCTTGCTGTGTTCACATCTCAAAGTGTTCTTCAAAACAAGGACAACCCCCCGCATCCCTTGGGCCATTTCACAAACTTCCTTGAGACAGCAAGATTTTCATTTCCTTGTATCTTGGGTTTTTCTTTCGCACTTTCTTATCGAGGACTTGAAAGGTTTGTTGGCTGGATTACAAATGGATTCTTCGGTTTTTCGCCTGGATGCTGTCCCCCTTTCATACACAGCTGATTGAGAGACAGGGAGCAGGTGCCAATGTGCTATTCCTCTCCGCCCCCACCCAGAGATGTGTGGCAGTCATGACTCAAGTGGAGAACCTTGCTAATGCCTGTCTGGCCTGTGCTTGGAAAAGGTACAAGCTCACTCTCTGAGCTCAGATGTTGAGCAGGCTAGGTTGGGTAGACTGAATTCTGCTGCTGCTGTGTGTGTCAAGGAGGGTCTGAACTGTGGTTGTGCTCAATCCAGATATGTGTTCAAGACTGAGGATGCAACCCGCATTTGAACGAAAAAGCCAACTGAGGTTCAAAAAGAAAATATGGACACCAAGGTCTCTGTCCAGCCAAAGACTCCCGTCGCTTTCTGCAGGAGTTAATCGTTCAGTTAACTCTCTGCCCCATTGAAATCAGTGGGACTTCAAAGTGTTTAATGTTGTTTGGCTAATGGTCACGGTGTAAAGGATTCAAGGCTTTGCAAGGGTCAAGCAATGTGGTTTTTAATTGGCCCCAGTAATGAGGGATATGAAAGCACCAAGCATGTTCTCTTCAAGGCCCATCTCACATGTGTGCATCTGTTGCTTGATTTCCCTCTGCTCAGTAACCGGCAGGTAAATTTGACTGCACCAAAAAGAGTTGTGGTGGTACAAAAGTTCCGTCTTTGGGGCTTGTGAATGCTCATTCCCAAGCAATGCAACGAAGGCATCATGAGCTGTTCTGCTATCCAGTGATGAATGTGCATGTGTGAACCAGGCCTGGGTGTACCTTGATCAAACTTAAAAGGAGATGCATTCATGTGCATTGGGATGTGAACCACCACACAGTAGAAAGTCCTCATTGCCCCTGAGCAAAAACCAGGGCGAGGAGACAAGGGGGACGCATCCCAAAGTGAATCTACAAGTGCCCAGATATGAAAACATCAATCCAGAATTGTTGATTTGATTTTGTCTGTCCACCTGTTGCCATGACCACTCTGGTCTTTCCCATAAAATGAAGACAGCTGTATATAGCTCTTCCAGAGTGTAATCTGAGCTTGGTCCCTTTCCACCTGTATATGCTTGAGCAATCTGTTCAAAGGGCCTGGATGCCTTCCTTTTTACCAAGCCTTCACTAGCTCATACAGAATGTGTCAGTGCCCCCATGCCCATTGTCTAAATCCCCAAAATGTGCCCTGATGTACGGAGAATCCCTCTGCCCTGAATAGGTGATGGCCGAAGTGAAGAAGAGATCAGTTGCCCCAGGGTTCCAGGCAAACAGGAAGGCAAGGCAAGTTCAGCACCACGGAGAGCGGTCAACCTGTGGGTTTGAAGACCATGGTCAGCAATCCTGCAGCTGACTTAGGCCATAGATCTTAGCAATGTCTTGGAGCAACCTTTATAACCAGGGCTTAGTATTCCTTTAAGTAAAGCCCCCCCCCCATGACCCTTGAAAGCTGCATCTGGCCATTTAAAGGGGCAGTGCCTTTCTTTGCATCTGCTGACTTCTTCTAAGGCCCCAGGGTTTCAAGCAGTGGAGATACCGCCTCAGGGCAATCCTGACCCTTTGAGGAGTCTGCGGACCAAGGTGTTAGGGGTTTTGTGCCTGTGGCTCCATATGGCGAGGACCAGGGAATGGTTCCATCTCCTTCTTGGGTCTGCCACTGAAGGAGGACTCTGCCTTTGAGGAGTCCTGATCTGTGCCCATGACAAAAACCAGTATTTCCCCAACAACTAGCACCTTTGTATGCATTTTTGATGGGTTACGTGAGTATTGCAGGCACCCAGTGGATGATCCTGGGATGTGTGCCTCAAGTCCCTGCTATTTTGAATGTCCCCCCCACCCCCATTTTCGGATGCTTTCCTGCTATTTATTTCCCCACTGTGCTGTTCAGAGAAGGTTGCACGCTCATCCTTTTCAGCGCATGAGCACAACACTTAGTTACTGGGCAATTGTTTTAACAGATGAACCGAAGCTATTCCCTGACAACAAAGCTTCTCCAGCTCCATTCCAATAAGTGAGAGTGGGAGTTTACTTCCTCATGGTACACACAAGTGCAATGCCAGGAGAGAAAGGCAGAATGTGGAGAAGCCCAGAATGGTTTCCTGTGAGCAGCTCAGGATGCCTTATTAGACTCCTAGATCTTTCTGAACTCTAACATCTGGAAGCCCCATGTCAGCCTTAGCAAACCATGCCCAGGTGAGGGTTGGCCGTTGCTGGACTTCTGATATGCCACACCACTGACCAGCGCTTGCTGGCTGCTGGAAGTTGGGAATGGAATGCACCCCATTTTCCCTCTTCCTGGTCATCGGATTTACTAGTTTTAGCATTGACTCTGCCTGCTTGCCAAACAGTGGCTAGAAGTGTGGTTTTTGCTCTGTACCATTAATGAACTTGGGTCTTAGGAATACAGGCAAATGGATAAAGAGAGGCCTGCATCTAGGTTGCTCATGTGTAGGATTGACAACAAGCCTGCATTTCATTGCTCTGAGCAGGATATCCATATAGTAAACTGATCGGTTTTGCAGTCCAAAAACCAGTGAGCTTTAGAGTCTGCTGGGATCTTCCCCTGAGTTTCTTTCGCTGGCTCCACCCAACCCAAGTCACCACCACCTGCCTGCCGTGACCATTTCCCCCTGGCTTTGCCAAGGGTGTCTCAACTCTTCTTTAAGGACCCCTCTTTCCCCCTCCTCCCCTATCTGAGTAGAAAGTCTGGCTCTTAAGCTGGGAGCATAAATGCAGGTGAGACCAGTTAGATTTCCTAACACGGGTTGTGGGGTAATGAGAAAAGTGTTCCAAGCTACTTTGTCATATTGCTCCTGTGTTTTTATTTCTGTGATACCAGCAAGTGGGACATCAAAGCAGTGCTCTCCCCACCCTTGGGTGGCCTTTCTGGCAAGTTTATAATGCCACAAACTGTGTCTCCCCACCCCTTTGAATTCTGTGAGTGTCTCAAAGGTTTTTTCCCCCCTGCTTTTTGTTTTTTTTAATTATTTTTGTGTTTTAATAAATCATTTAAAAAAGGAAACCTGAGGGAATGGCTGGCTGGTTCTTCTCCTGGGTCCCACCAACCTTCTGCTGTTTGGAAGATGGGAAGAGGCACGTTTACAGAAACACTTTTGACATGACGTTTGTCATTGTAAGGAATGAGGAATCTAGAGTCAATCCGAACCCGCCCTAACCATCGCCTGCTACTACCCCATGATTTAAGGCCCAAGGAGAAAACCTGTGGGTTCATCAGAACCTTAGGTCACCACAGGAAACAAGTGCCAATTTATCAATCTGCCTCGTGAAGCTGCCAGTAAAACAAAAGAGGTTAATTGTGATTCAAGTGACCTGAGGGGTTGTGTTTGGCTCAGGACAGGATTCTAAACAATCCACACAAAAGTACAGCATATAGATTTATTCCAGATTAATAAAATAGCAATATAAGAACTCTGTTACTCAATAAGGGGAAAAAAATGTTTTATTTATTTATTTATTTATTTAAAGGTCACTTGGGGATTTGGGGAATATTTGGGACAAAATGCAGACACCCAAAACTGCAAAGCTTCTTAGCCTAAGCTAGAAGATGCACCCTTATTTCCAAGCCTTGGAACATGGAGTTGTGGCTGCAACTCTGTTTATTCATACGGACCTGACACCTGGTTTGTATGGAAACAGTTGTGCCCTCTGCTTCCTGAAGCCCCGTTGCAGACTATGCCGTGCTGGCAATGAAGAAAGTACAGGAGCTATTTGGGCTGAGATGCCAGCAGAGGGTCATGTGGAAAAGATTGTGCCACTTGTCTCGAAGTATGCACCCCACCTTGTGTTAGGGTATTGGACTAGGACCTGGCAGTCCAGAGTTTTCTGTTGTTGAAGGAGCATTCAAGCCTGCTCCCAGGTGGCTCCCCAGCCTAAACAATATTCTCATTCATAAACGATGCCAGTATAAAATCAGTGAGCATTGCAAGGAAGAATCCAACCAACACACACACACACACACACACACACACACACACACACACACACTGTTCATATGACCTAGTCTCACTTGCCATTCTTTCCTCATAGGGAACCAGAGGTGGTGTTGTGGTTTGAGTGTTGGACTGGGACCCAGTAGATGAGGGTTAAAATCCGCACACATCCAGGAAGCATGCTGTGTGACCCTGGGACCAGTCACAGCCTTATCAAGCTTGCCTACCTCACAGGGTTGTTGTGGGGGTTCAATGAGGGGGAGGACCATGTATGCCACCTTGAGCAACTTGGAGGAAAATACAATCAATCAATCAATCAATCAATCAATCAATCAATCAATCAAATCAATTTTGGGAGCTAGAGGTTCAGCCAGGAAAAATATCAATGTGTCTTCCCTTCCTTCTACTCCTGCCATGTGGTCCAGAGCAGAAATGAGAGAGTAACAATCAAACAGTGTCAGAGCTAAGAATTAAGTAAGGAAAATTGATGTGAAACTCTCCCTCATGGTCCCCTTATGGGTTTTGTGGCAGGGCTGCTTCCTAGCCCTGGCAGTGCTTGTTGTGGGAGGACCGTCAGTCAAATTGCACCCTTCTGGTCTTGGTTTCTGCATTGCCAAATTTGTCTTTCTTTTTCAAATGTTGTCCTCTAGCTATAGGGAGAGGCAGGGAGTCCTCATCTGCCTGGGAATCTTAAGTGACAGCAAGCAGCCGGTTTCCCAGTGAACTTGGAAGGAAATGTCTGATTGGAAGAGACAAAATCATGTCTGAAGGCCTTAAAGGAAGCAAAAGGTCAGGAGCTGGACATTTCCCCATAACGCTGGAGATCTGGATCTCAGCTGGCTCTAGAAGGGTCTGTGGGAATCACAAAAGAGGCTCCTCTTGACTTCCCTGCCCCCCCATGCAGCTGATTTTTTTTGGGGGGGGGCATGGACTAGAAAAGGTTGTTTCCTGCCTGGGGTTCTGCTGGCCACCATAAAAGCAGAAATGGGAAACCACAATTGGCTTCAAGTCACCCTGTGTTGGTTGCACCAAGAATTTCCCTTGGAATAGGCCTGTCAGGGGTGCCACAAGTGAGCAACAGGTATTTGTAGAATCATAGAGTTGGAAAGGACCACGAGGGTCACCTAGTCCGACCCCGTCTCCTAATGCAGGAAACTTTTGCCCAACATGGGGCTCACACCAGCGACCCTGAAATTAAGAGTCTCAAGCTCTTATCGACTGAGCTATCTCTTTCTCAAAGGTGCCCTTTTAGTCCCAGAACAAAACTTGAATCAATTGAATGATGAGCCCAGAGTGCAACACACTCATTCTTCCCGGCCTGCCTCCTCCGAATCCTCTTGGAATAAGTTGTTTTTGTTGTGCAACCACATCTAGTCTGACCAGATGAATCGCTCCCAGCACAGAGAAGCAGCGACGAGGCTGCCCATGGCCTCACTGCATGAGTCCCTGTTATGCTTCAATTTTGCTTCTTTCTTAGTATTTTTATTTAGCATTATGGTTTATATCACACTTTTCCTCCAAGAAGCTCAAGGTGGTGTACATGGTTCTCTCCCGCCATTTTTTAATCCTCGCAAAACAACCCTGTGAGGTAGGTTGGACTGAGAGGCAATGACTGGCTCCATGAGACTCAGAGCTGAGCAGGAATTTGAACCAAGTCTCCCACAATTAAGAGCAGAAGAAGAGCCTGGTGGATCAGACCAGTGGCCCATCTTCCTGTTCTTACAGTGGCTGACCAGATGTCTCTTATGAGAAATCCGCAAGCAGGACCTAAGCCGAAGAGCCCTCTCTCCTCTTGCAGGTCTCAGAAACTGGCATTCAGATGCATTATTGCCTCCATCTGTGGAAGCAGAGCATAGCCACCAAGAGCTCTCTGCTCCAAATTTCTAGTTCAACACTTCACTCTTCACCTCCCCAGCTTCCACCAGCCTTCTACATCAAAGCATTATTCTGAAGATGCAATAAAATTCACAGTTGCAAAGATTATTCTGATGTACAGTGGTACCTTGGGTTAAGAACTTAATTTGTTCCAGAGGTCCGTTCTTAACCTGAAACTGTTCTTAACCTGAAGCTAATGCTGCCGCCACGCTACCAGAGCACGATTTCTGTTCTCATCCTGAAGCAAAGTTCTTAACCCAAGGTACTATATCTGGGTTAGCGCAGTCTGTAACCTGAAGCACATGAGGTACCACTGTACTGGGCATAGAAGGACAAAAGACAGAGACTTTTAGAGGCCCAAGCCACCAGTGCAAGCAAATAGGATCAGGTGAGAGCAGGTCGATATGTGGCTTGGCATTGGCCAACCTTGATCTACCTATCTGCTGCTCCAGAGGGTAGGACCCAAACCAATGGATTCAAATGGCAAGAAATGAGATTCTAACTAAGTATTAAGAAGAACATTCTGACAGTAAGAGCAGTGGAATGGACTTTCCCAGAAGGTGATGGACTCGAGGGTTTTCAACAGAGGTTGGGTGGCCATCTACCAGGGATTTTTGAGCTAGATGACCTTTGGGGAGTCCTATCCAACTCTACATGATCTCCACCCATGATCTCCATCCTCTTGCCCATCTCCTGAATTCTGCTGCATGCCATGTTTTTGGCTCCCGCTGCATCAATCCATTCTGACCCCCTCCTTCAGGATTTTCACTGACTTGCTCTGACACGACCCATTCAAGTTGACATCCTTTCCTTTGCATTTGAGTCAGCACTCTGCAATGTTTAGTGAGCTGGTTAAAAATGGATACTTGGGAGTCTGTTGACCCAACAACCCCATAGGCTGACCTTAGGCAGGGCGGTTGAGAGTGAAGTCGCAGATCCACATCACACAACATTGCGAATGGGCAAAGGACACCGTGCCCTTTGCTGGGCAAAACACAGAAGGCTGGAGAGAAACTGCCCATCCAAGAGGGATGGTGCCAAAGCTCGGGGGCAGGATTAGGCCTTTCCTCTCTGGCCTGTCCTTTGCTTTGGAGTTGGCTCGCGGGCTTTAAGGGGCAGTTTGCAGCACTCTTGTTCTACTGGCATTTTGAGACAGGCAAGGGCATGCAAATATTAAAGCCTTGAATATGAGTCATATTTTCATGTTTCACCCATCAAAATAACACGGTTGGAAGGGTTATCTGGGGCAGGTATCATGATGAGCAAGTCGATCCTTAGGGTTGCTGGTGGTTGTTGTTTTTGTACATTTAAATAAATTAATGGGTGTACCCCCAAGGAAGTCTTCTAATTAGTGCCCTTATTTGTTGATGTTGCTCTGATAAATATGGCTGAAAGTGAGTTTGCAAGCTGTCCTATCATCTTAAGAGCATAAGAAGAGCCCTAGTGAATCAGGCCAATGGCCTAGCTAGACCAGCATGAAGTTCTCACTGTGGACAACCAGATTCCTCTATTGGGGAACCCTGAAGCAGGACCCGAGCACAAGAGCACTCTCCGCCCCTGCAGTTTCCAGAAATGGAAATTCAGAAGCAGGGATGTGAGCTCCTTTGGTGTTAGGATTCAGTCCTGTAAGAGTGAGTTCAGGAAGCCTGAAAGTGCCGCTGCTAATAATAATAATAATAATAATAATAATAATAATAATAATAATAATAATAATAATTTATTATTTATACCCCACCCATCTGGCTGAGTTTTCCCAGCCATTCTGGGCGGCTTCCAATCAAGTGTTAGAAACAATACAGCATTAAATATTAAAAACTTCCCTAAACAGGGCTGCCTTCAGATGTCTTTTAAAGAGAGGATAGCTGCTTATTTCCTTCACATCTGAAGGGAGGACGTTCCACAGGGCGGGCGCCACTACCGAGAAGGCCCTCTGTCTGGTTCCCTGTAACCTCACTTCTCGCAATGAGGGAACCGCCAGAAGGCCCTCGGTGCTGGATCTCAGTGTCCGGGCTGAACGATGGGTGCTTAGCCCTTATAAGCCTGGCTTCTGGGCCAGGCTTTCTCTGCTGGCTCTCAGCTGTCCTTCAGCTGTGAGCCGGGACTGAGATCTTGTGGTGGGGTAATGGTTACAGCATCAGACGGGGACCTGGGAGAGAGGAGGGTTCGAATCCCCATTAAGCCATGAAGCTCACTGGGG